TCGATCGCGCAACGGGAGCTGTGTTGCGGTGAGCTGCGCGCGCGCGACGTTTCGTTATGCGTCGCTTGTAAATCCAAAAACTTTTCGCACTAAATTTTTAACGACGATTGGTTAATTTATAAAAGGAGTAGGCAAACGTGGGCAGATCGTTTTCGTTCTCATGCGACGAATAAATCGCTTTATTATTATGCAACTTTAGCGCGATAGATAATTTTGGTATTATTTTTGTATATCATAGTGTGCAAAGAGACGCAGGTTTCAAAGTGGTGTGTCATTAGGCTCGATTCTTCCCACGATAAAGCAATCGTTATCGGTCCGATGATCTCGTTTTATCCTAAACAAATATTATATGCAGAGGTAGGCGAGATCAGACACTGGAACGAGCAAGAGGTCAAACGTTTGCTTGCACATATCTTTGAGAACGGGCCGCACGATTATTAAGCTGTGCTCGCGCTTGCGGCGGGCGGGAAATTACAGCTACCGTGGACCATAAGAAACGATCGCATAAGAACACGAGCACGAGGCCGTCAACATCTCTAACGTAGGCACGTAGCTATATAGAGACGTGCTTGAGTCGGAGAAAACGTCTGAGCCGCAGAAAAGCGAAACGACCGGCAATGTGGGCGAGGCTCGGCTAAAAATTGCACTTGCCCCTCATTCTTCGTCTTTCGACATTTGAGCTCTAAGGTGCATGATGTGCCTCGATCGGGAGAGGCAGCCTAGCACAGCAACATACGTGCATAGGAGTACTTGGATGACTCGTGGCTCGGTGCAGCCAACGCGCGCGGGGGGGAGAGATGGATAGATAAAAGCCAGCGATACGGCGTTCACTGTAATTGCCGTAATAAAACGCCCCGGCGCTGCGCTGCTTATAATATTTACGGCTGTAATACTTGTGTGCATCGCGTCGTTGTTGCCAACTTTTTATTATTACTTTTTTCTCTCTCTCTCTCTCTCTCTCTCTATTCTTGCGAGCTGCTCTCGCGGCGGCAGCAACGGCGTCGGCGGCGGAGTCGTTTCGATCGAATAACGATATATACCGATGATGAAGCGATGAAGAGAGGCAATCGAGCCGCGCGAGCCCCTAAACAATGAGTAGCTGCAGCTACATGAATATACACTCGTCATTCTAGACTCGCGGCGTTGCAACATTTTTAATCAAGTATCGGGCGGTTTTTTCGTACGTTATAATGCATGCACTTTGTCTGCATCGACCGATCCTCTGGGGATTTCCTTCGATTCGAATTCGCCTGAATGTATAATCTCCTCTATAATATAGCCCGTGTACGATTTATTCTTATTACCGTACTGTTCTATTGATATAGTCTCGCGTCGAAGCCCGAGTAACCTCGTTCTCATCGGAAAAGGAGGGGAGGCCTCATTGATTATTGCAAATTAATAATGCAATTGCGCTCTAGGTGCGAATTGAAATATCGAAGTAACTATACACGCGCCAAATCGAAATAATATTTCGCTTATTATTAGCTTCGTAATGATGAATTCGTTTATATTATAGTGGCGCTGAAAAAAATCCTCGAAATTACCCGATAATCGATTCGCGTCGAAGCTCGTACATAGACCTGCCGCAGATGCCAGTGAAATATGACGATTGCGAGTTTCATCATTTGGTCGAGCAGCCAAGCTGGTGTATAGACGCGCTGCGAGAAGCGCATCCATTATACAGCAGGCGCGGGTATGTACCCATAATTGCATCGAATTTCGTGACCCGGAAGACGTGTTGCGCCTTTACTCTGCCGAGAGCTGAACTTACACCTCGTAAAAGCTCGTATCAATCGTGGCAGTTTATTACGCTGCTCGTTTTAAAAACTCCATAAATATAATGCAATGTAATGTAGACAAAAAAACCAATTTCGGTAGGAAAGAAGTTCGAGTGGACTTTTGTTGTTTGTAAAAACCGACCACCGACCATTGATTAAAGGTCTTCTTGGTAATTTGCATGCACCTACAAAACTGCGCGAAGCGACGATTCTCCTTTCCGATCGGTGCCACGACGTACGATGAGCCGCATAGCATCGACTGCTTGCTGCATATGGAGGAATATATCGATCATACTCGGCGCAAGGATGCGGCGACGTCGTCGAGCGCGTTATATTACAGGCTTATGCTGGCAGTGCTATAATACATACGAGCTCGTACAGCGATTGTAAGAGATGTAAAGCACGAAGATCGGCTCTCCCTTACGGCGCTTAGCTGCGCAGAGCTCGCGCACGGACGAGATGATCATCCTCCAGCGCTGTGTGCTGTATATATAGGCACGCGTCTGACGCAACAACCTCCACGGACGAGTTGGATCAGCGGGACGCCGATACATGGTACAAACTATCTTTTCGTATTATTACGTGCCTTTTTCTGTGTCGGCCTCGGCACGTGAAAATTCGATGGATCATTTTCGTTTTTTCTTCCGATACGTAACGTCGAGGTTTAATGCACGAGGCGCCGATCATCTTTTTATGTGCATTTCTCAGGCAGGCCGATTGGCGCGCGAGAGCTCGACTCGAAAATTCCCTACACGTGTACACTTTGTGCGCCGAGGCAATCAAGCCGCGTGATTTTTGTCCATCGCTTCAGCCAATTTCAGGATGTTCTTACTCGTTACAACGCGTACGCGTAATATCGGTCGGGCTTATTTTTGGAAAAGCTGATCGATCGTAATACCTACGGAGGTAATAGAATGCGTGAGCGAATAATGGGAAAGTCGAGTGCAATGCTAAAAATGACGAGCTGCCCTCCATTGAAAAGTACGTCATGATCCTCGCGGCGGACTTGTGCAATTATTAATATAGGCGCACGGCGGCTCTTAATCGTATTAGCATAATCGATGAGTAATTATAATTCTGCGTTGCGCGCGGAGCAATGTGTAGATAATAGACGCGGGGAGTCAAAAAATGAACGACCCATTGGGCCCGAAGCGGCCCTCGGCTCCACATGCAAACAGCTACGCAGATCGGCGAGTAACGATGCACTATTATTATACACGGGATCGCGAGGCTTGTCCTGTCTCTGTGCGCGCTGCCTACGCTCGCGAGACACGCTAAATATATATCACTTTCACGCATACTTACATAAAATCGTTGGCATATTCGGCGCTGCCGCCGTCAGCTATATCAGCCGTGCTCGCGCGCGCGAGACGTAATGTAATCACACGGATCGCGAGCTGCGCGCGTTACAATTGCCGCTGCTGCTGCTGCACCTATTCGATCGTCGATCCTTACACAATACGCGCGAATTCATCCTTTAATCGAGCCCGACGCGAGCAGCTCCGGCGAACGTTTATGATATAATAATAAGAATATATATGATCGACATTAGATCGAGTACGGATCGGCACGCACCATCGAGCGACTCTGCGCCTCTGCGCTGTGCACACAAAGGGAGAGAGAAAAATAGATTTTAATCGCTACCTGCAATGAGTGCGCGACTTTTTAATTGCAGAGATTCAGGGTGCGAAATTTTAGCCCGCGCGCAAAGTTGAGTAATCGGGGGAATGCCGAGGCGGCCTCCTTTCCACGCGTGCTACTCACTCGCACTTTTCTCTCTCTCTCATTCTTTTGAATCGGCAATGCAACGATTACGCGCGATTCGGCTCCTACGCAGACACCGTCTATACAGGTGTGGACTTTTTTTGGTGAACCGATTTTTCTTTAGTAGATTTTGTCGAGTCCATTGACATTTGTTTGTTTCCTTGTGCTGTACGTGTATCCTAAAGTATATGCGATGTGACCTTGAAAATGCACTATTATTTCTTCAAATATATTTTATTACGAACATTTTTATCATTTAAATTGTATTTAATTTAAAAAATTTACTTTTGACAAACATAAGAGTATTTTAGACTTTTAAACGAAACAAAAAAAGGTAAGTTTTGCAATTGACATTATCATGGAGATGAAACAATTAAGCAGCATCGAGTTGTACGCACAATACAGCACTTTAGCCAGCAAAACGAATCGCAGCTGCCATTTGATTTTCAGAAAAGATGGCTTGTATGAATTGTCAAAGGCACACATATCTTGTGAGCGCGTCGCATCTCTATCTCGTCTCTGTAGCATATAAAATTGAACACGCGAACGCGGAGCAGCATCTAGCGATCGGCAAACAATGGCAAATTAGGCGTGTTCGTACACGATCGTTTGGCGCGTCAAACCCAAATCAGCTCGTGTATCGCAGCTGTCATCGGCACGCATAAACGATCTCCGCGACTCGCGTATACATCTGATAAAAAGTGCATAGGTACACGTGCAATATCGAGTCGCATCTTCGAGGCACGCGGATGTGTGCAGGATCACGATGCGAGGCAAATACTTGCGTATTATATAGCCTGCGGACGATCGTTGCGCATCGGTATATATGAAATTCATCGGCATTCCGTCATCGTCGTTTTGCAAATCGAAATTTCACGGCTCGAAATCCAAACTCGCGCGCAATACTCTATACTACAGGTCTGCGTGATGCTCTTTCCCCACATGCATTAACCCCCTGCAGCCGACTCATTGTTTTCTTCGCAGCCGAGCAGTCCTGGACAAAAGGCGCGAAATATTTTCATACACATAAATTGCATTCCTATTGATATGCAGCCGCTCAACGCCGTGTACACGAAAAACCCTTTTAGCGAGAAGTGGGGATTCAGCTGGAAGCCAATGATTTTCCAGCTAAAGATGAAGTGTCCTCTTTATGTATGTTGGCAAATTTTACCTGCATCAACTTGTGTAGCGAGCTCATGAGCACGGGGGTGGGAGAGAGCCCAGAGATTTGAAGATTTGAACGGCGCTCCGTGTACAAAGGATATAGTGAGAGGATGATGCGGTGATGTGGCGGTGGTACACTTGAGAGTACCATATAAAAGTGGCCGATTGCTCGGATTGGGCCGACAATTGCCCGGTGCCAATTGCTAGTGCACCTCCTCGTGGACGATCGTAGTAACGTATCAACAGTGAGCGAGATTTTTAAGAATATTCCTCGTCCCGTCGTTTGCCGTCGATATGAAGCTGGTAAGACAAGACTCTTCAATTCTCATTTGTTCAAAACTTATTTTTCTATCATTTTTTCTTTCATTTTTTTATACATCTGTAAATTTGTCGACTCAATTTTTCGGATTTTCGGATGAATTTTATTGAAATTATTTTTCGTTTATATATTTTTTTTACCTTTTTTACTTTATCACTAGTTATTAAAAATTATACAAAAGTTACTTCTAAGCATTGGAAACATTTTGTAAACTTAACATCGTTTTGGAAAACATTGTCTTCCTGGAAAAATAAATGTATTTCATTCAAAAAAGTGGTAAAATTACTGTGAATTCAAAAATTGGACATCTCACAAAGTGACGAACATACATTTTCAAGTGATTCTGTGGTGCTCATCTATTTTTAGTGCGATCATTTATCAGTGAAATAAATCAGTACGGATCATGCATTAGAGTACGAATTGAATTTTTCATGAAATTCGCTTCTTTGAATTTAGCCGCTAGCAGTAGTTCTGCTAGTCGCGTCTCGGACGTGCTTAGCAGCTCGCCTCGACAATACATATCTGCCACCAGGCAGTGCAGGATCTGCCGGCGGTAGTGGCCTGCAGGCACCCAATAAATTCGGGGGAGGCTTCGGAGGTGAGTTGCGCTACGCGCGTAAAATCGCCACGACGATATTTTCGATTATTTTTTGTAACGCGAGCAAAAAATGTCAGGAAACGCCGGTGGCTTTGGCAGCAGGCCCGGAGGAGGCTTCGGCGGAGGAGGATCTTCGGGAGGCTTCGGTGGAGGTGCCGCTGGATTTGGAGCTCGACCCGCTGGCGGTGGTTTCAGCGGAGGTGGCGGAGGCTTCGGCGGATCATCCGGCGGCGGCGGCGGTGGCTACAGCGGCGGTGGCGGAGGAGGTGGCAGTTTCGGTGGCTCTAGCGGACCCAGTGGACCACCCATACCGATCGTCTCGTTCGACGCTCAGAACGGCGGTGACGGAAACTACAGATACAGTTACGAGACCGGCAATGGAATCCAAGTTCAAGAGCAAGGACAATCGAGAGGTTTCAATTTTTCATCATTAACTTATCTCTTATATTTCATCAGCTTTCGAGCCTTTGGGAAACATTCGATAAAAATTCACTCGCAAATATTTTAGGCAACGCCGAGGCCGTGAGCGGATCGTACAGTTACACCGGCCCCGACGGACAGGTATACACGATCAATTACACCGCCGACGAGACGGGCTTCCACGCGCAAGGCGCCCACATACCCACCCCACCTCCGATCCCACCGGAGATTCAGCGCGGAATCGAACTGTCGCTCGCTGCTGAGGCGCGTGGCGAGAACCAGGACGGCGCATACAGAGGCGAGGGCGGCAGCGGAGGTAAGGATCCGATGCAACAGATCGGCTATGGCCCGACAATGAATAATTCATCGTTGATTTTCATCCAAAGGTGGCTACCAAGGCGGTGGTGGTGGTGGCGGTGGCTATCAAAGCTCCCAATCTGGCGGTGGTTACCAGAGCTCACAGGGCGGCTACCGATACTAATTACGACTTCGATACCGATCAAGGCCAGTTGCAGAGGCCCAATGTGTCGAGCGAGGCTCGATCCTTCGAGGCGGTCTTCTGATTTAATTTGGAGATCACGATTACCCCCGCACGTCTTTCGGGGTGTGATGGTGCATTGCCGTAAAAACAAAAAAGTTGCATGCTATATTTTGTACATATTTCAGATATGCTTCTTTATACGCAATATATTTACGAAATGTTCACACCTGCGCGTGAACGTCGACGCACGAAAGTTTTCTCTTTTAATATACCTTATACTCGTTGCGAGCTTTTCTAATCATTTTCTATACCATCGTCTGACTCATATGGTACTGGCATTTGGTATTTTAATGGAAAACTGTACGTGTGCGATAAATATAATACTTAGAACCTTTGTAATTTTCTACTTGACGTGAAAAATAAAATCAAGATTCTAATGAATCGTGTTTTTGAAACGAATTTATTTCCATTATAGTTTTACTTTTTTTATTTTTATGCATCATTACATTTATAATACAACTTATTTATTCTTGCATTTATTTAATGTAATTAAATCATGACCGGTTATCTGATAGTAATAAAAATACTCAACTTTTCTCTGTTAAATAAGTATCTAAACCAGGGGAAACATGTATAGGATAGAATATTTTATCCTATATACTACCATGAATATTTTTATGTCTACAATTTTTAATTTTCAATTAAAATCTCACCAAATATTTTTTCTAATGTTTGAAATGAAAAAAATTAACAAGAAGCCATGTGCAAATTTTCAAATAAAATTTATTTAAATGAATCAAATATACACGCTAAACCCAAAAGAGTAATTTTCGAACCTCAAAAGAGTAATCTGCGCGAATTACTCTTTTAAAAAGAGTAATCTAACGCAGATTACTCCTTTCACTTTCACGCTAGAACTAAAAAGAGTAATCTACGCATGTTACTCTTTTTTGAAAAATGCCGAGTGGGCAATTACTCTTTTTGGTAAAGATTACTTCGCGCATAAGAATATTGCGCGCAGATTACGGTCTTTGAATATTAAAGAATATTTTTTATTGTATATTGATTCACGTAGCCAGTGAATGAAAGGTTTCAAAAAAGTTTGCTTAAATTTAGCTTTAATCAATTCGTTTTTAACATATTAAAGGCTATTATTCAGATGGATTATAATAGTAAATGTCTTTCTTTATCGAATAGAAGTTTTGCAGAATGTTTTACTTTCGACTTTCTTTAATAAAATAAGGGAAGAAAAATACACGATGCACCAGTCAATGAAGCTTTTTTACCTTTTTTTAGTAATCTGCGTTAGATTACTCTTTTTAAAAGAGTGATTCGCGCAGATTACTCTTTTTAGTTCTAGCGTGAAAGTGAAAGGAGTAATCTGCGTTAGATTACTCTTTTTAAAAGAGTAATTGGCGCAGATTATTCTTTTTAGTTCTACGGTGAAAGTGAAAGGAGTAATCTGCGTTAGATTACTCTTTTTAAAAGAGTAATTTGCGCAGATTACTCTTTTGAGGTTCGAAAATTACTCTTTTGGGTTTAGAGTGTACATCTTGATTTAAAATCAAATGTGTGTAACGTGATTGAAGTAAAATACATCAACCGAAATTGAATAAATGTAAATTATATGTATATTTATAAATTTATATCAAAATATACATTATTATTACTATATTATAAAAAAAGTGACAAAATTCATTAAAATTACATTTAATACGTACAACATCGACTGATCTAAAGATTTAATACAATATATTTACAATTATTTTAATACAAAACTTTTTGTATCATTGCACTTAAAATTATATTGCGAAATTTTCGTTACCTTATATATTTGTACAGTCTGCGGGAAAATTTAAATTATAATTTTAATCGCCCACTGAACATTTTCAATACTTCCAAAAATTACTAAATTTCGAGAGTACAAACACCAAATTGTACTAAATTTCTAATACTCACTTGATTCTCTTCTTTCCGTATCTAACAATTTATAAAACTGTAATTTATATATTTACTCGATACTTGTGGAGTAATCGTTATTCAACATCTTTCAAAATTATAATAATAATTCAAAAAAATGATAATAATTTTAAGTCATGTTTTAAATTACAAACACTTATTTTTAAACATCACTCAGATCTATGTGCAACAAAAATTTTACATCATATTGAAATCCAATAAGGATACTTTTAGACTTAATACTCAAAAGGCACATAATTATAAATTTATTAACCAATTCGAAACCTTATAGAAACATTAATTTTCTATTTTATCCATTTTTCAACGCTCAATATCAATTTACTTTTATTTTTAAAGTTTAAACAATGAACGTTTATACCTATTGCTTTAAACTTTTTTCAGACAATGAAACTAATCTATAAGGATTTTATCTTTTAGTTTTAAACTTAGCAATAATTAATTTAATGCAGTTTTCATAGACTAAACAAATTATAATAATACATTTAGAAGCTATCTAACAATATTAAAAAAAAATAATTTTAATAATTTCGACCTTAATCACAGTACCCAAAACATCTTGAGTAGTTTTTTACAACCAGTTAATGAATTTTTTAAACATAACTAACAATTAAACGTAAAGACAATTAAACATTGCAAGTACTCGTTTTATACATTTAATATATATAAAATATTAAAATATATATTGCGGCAGTTTAACCTGTAAGCAAAATTTGAGAAAATTGCAATACTTTTGACAACTTACTTGACAAAAAAATGAAAAATTATTGATAGTGTCAATTGAACAAAAACTGACTTATTAAAGTCTCAGATTTCAAAGATGAAAATTAATTATAATGACACAGTACATTAACATTTGAAAAAATTCGTAGTAAAAATCATCGAAATAATCAAATCGTTAGCCTTATTTCAAATCGTAACACTATGAAGTGAAAATTTCTGAAGATAAGTAATCTGTGCTCAAGATACTTGGTTAAGAAAAAATACTGATGAAGATACTCCAATACTTCAAGCGAATCTGAACGCATTTGTCTCAGATGAATTTTACTACAAATGGTCAATCGTTGATTTCTAGTTTTTTTCGAACGTATAAATTCTATATCGATTTTTATAAGTAGGTGTAAAACACGTTCAAAATTGAAAATTTCAATTACAAAGACAGTTTCTAGTATAACACATAAAATTAGTCTTAGTTATTGATCCTTTGGTTATTAATTTACATTTGTTGGTTTTCCAACAACTCATCACTTGTAGGTCTTACGATTGGAGCGATTAGCTGTTCTAGCAAACAGTAAAAATAGCTGCTCCAAGGATGATGATAATACGGAAAAGTCGTCGATACTAGCATATCTGCTACGAAGTTCACTCATTAAATCGTACATTCTTCTCCACGCTATGTCCGGTGAAGTTACGTGATACATGAGAAAACCCTATTTCAGTTGAGAACAATAAAAATTAAACATTTTTGCTTCGTGAAGACGAAATAGATAAGGTGACATTGTAATAAATTTCTTACTGAGTTTTCGTCAACAAGTTCGCAGTTTAGTGCTTGCTCTATATCTTTCTTGATATTCTCCATTTCAGAAATTGATTTTTCTGGATTTAATTTCAATTGAATATCAAATCCAGCGCCGAAACGTTGTTTTAGTTCTTGGCATTGCCCGACGCACACTAGTTGTCCATTTACCATTATTACCAATCGATTACAAAGTGCTTCACATTCTTCCATACTAAAAATTTTTACATGTATATGTTTTTGTATTGAATAAAAAATGCATACAAATAGAATTATAGATCAGTAATTAAAAGTAAAGTATTGTTTGAGACTATAGATGTTTAAAAAGTTGAAGGAGTTTAAAGGTGATTTAGGTGGTTATTGTAGTTGATTAAATTGATGAAGGTAGAAAAAAACAAAACCATAATTTGTAATAAAAAATAATTATTTAATTCACTCATTTATAACACAACCATTGTTACTATGTTATATACTACTAAAAAACTCATTCACTCAGTTAACAGTCTTCAAACAAATTAATAACTATGTATCTACATATCTACATATCTACAAATTCTACAATTTACAATTTATTATCTACAAATAATCCATGCAAAGTGCTGAACGTTTTTTGGGTAAGTGTTGAGCATACAGAGATCAATTTTATTAAATGAACTAAAAACATGCGGGTGATTGAAAAATTAGCTATACTCTCACCTATGTGACGTCAATATGATAGCTTGACCAGCTGTCTGACAAGATTGAATGACGTTCCATAAAGAACGCCTGGCTGCTGGATCAACACCTGTCGTCGGTTCATCTAGCAATACGAGATTCGGATGGCCAATCAATGCCATTGCAATATTGAGGCGGCGTTTATTGCCACCGCTGTATGTGCCACTTGGTTGTGATGCACAAATATTTAAATCTAAGACAAAAAATACCATGTTAGTTAATAACGCGAAAGTTGAGCCTTATGTAGTTTTCAGGATTTTACTAACTCAGTCTATCGATCCACTTTTTAACTTCATTTTCCACTTGAGATTCAGGAATTCCTCTCAGACGAGCAAATAGTCTTAAATGATCGTAGGCATTGAGACACTTTACAATAGCATCATTTTGTGGACAATATCCCATTTGTGAAAGACACTATACGTTGAGATCAAAATGATACTCTCAAAATAAATATGAAATTATTGCTTTTTATCATACTAGATCAAACTTACATGTTTACGATTATTTGTATAGTCCTTGTTTCCCAGGTACATTAATCCACTGTTAGGCACCGATTCACCTGTCATCATTCTAAAAGTCGTGGATTTACCGGCGCCGTTCACTCCCAGAAGTCCGAAGCACTCGTGTTGCTTAACTCCAAAACTAATTTCTTCGACAGCGAGTAGCTTGCCATAACGTTTGCTTAGCTCGTAAACCAAAAACATGTAATTGTTAGATGTGTCATTATTGGATAAAACATTGCTTTCTTCGCAAGGCGCATTTCCATTCGTCTCGGCCTTAATTACTGCTTTTGCTGACTTTTTCTTTGGCTTGACTTCGACTAAAAAATATGAAAAATTAGGAAAACTGAATACTTTGATAGGATTTTTCTTTGATGTGCACATAGAATTTATCATGTCATCTTGCACTTGATTTTATAGTGTGAAAATTATAATTTTTTCTTGTGACCAGTTGTTGAGCATTATGATATGATAAAATTCTACTGAAGCTACAATAACAAAAAATGCAACTAATACTTGGACAGAGGGCTGTATGTAAATTCCGCGAGCCAATGGATTTCCTTTTTCCGTTGTGAACGAGTTTATGCATTTCATCTACAATTCATTATGATATTGAAAAGTGCTAGTGTGTGCATATGGCATATTTATGAAAAAGTAATCAAGCGATCTTTATTAGCAAGCGTTTTATAATTGCCATGAATTGTTTGAATTTAAAAAACTATTGCAAAAGTAAAAATGTTGGTTGTGAAGTAGAAAATTACATGAATTTTTACACTTACAAAGTGTTTTGGCCTTAGCGATTTCAAAAGCAACCGCGTGCTTTTCTTTCTTCACTTGTTCATCACACGGATCTTCGAGAGCTTCGTATTTGCCATTTCGCATTCTGGACAGCATCAAGGGCACTAATTTGTATTCGAGTGCAGCAAGAATACCGAAATATAGAATGGGCGTGATGCAAAGGTACGTTATGCTTTCTTCCAACGACATATCATCTTTGTAGTTTTTAAAGTAGTCCAAACGATGTTTGCATTTTCCATCGTAACAGTCTAAACCTAGGAAAACAACAGTTATCGATCAGTCGTTTCTTCTTGAACTTTTAATTTTTGGAAGAATTCGTGACTTTTGACTTACCACAACATACGTCTTTGGTTAAACAAGCTACAGCGTGCAGCATATTGGGTAATCGACGACACCGAGCATTTTTAGTGGCCGTGGTGAAAAATGACACTTGACCATGGAAAAAGCTGAGATACGGTACTAGTAAAAATACGCCTTTTTGGATGGCTCTTAATATTTTGACTGTCTTCACGCGGCTAAGCGTGAGAGCGATCACATGCATTATCAGCTCGAGCGACACCAAACCAAACGGTAGAAGACTCAAAAGCGTGATGACGGTACTCGTCGACTTTTTGAAAAAGCTACATATGTAGATCAGCGGCAAAACGTTGATGGCGAAAAGTACTAATATCAGTATTGTTATACCTGAAACACGAATGGGTGAAATTAATTCATATCGTCATTGTGATAATAATTTAGCGAAGTTTCATGAAGCCAACGAAAGGCATCAGAAAAGAGACGATCTTTACATATTGCATCGATTATATTGAAATAGCGCGTTGAAAAATGAATAAGAAATGATTTCCGACGAATTTTCTCGTTGTTTGGAAATTGGCCAACGTAATAACTTGCGTAATATGTACTTGACGTTGAACTCACCGATTTCCGTCGCCTCGTACAATCTCAAATCTATAGCGCTATCCATGCAAATGAAGCCGATGACGATACAGGCGATCGTGACGAGAAACACGGCCATGTCGAAGGCGAACATGGTGCCCCAGTAGCTGAAACAGGACACCCCCGTCATGCGTTGCAGCTGTTTGACATTGCTCAGGGTCTCTCTGAGTGGATGAATGACGAAGAGCGCGATGGCTGGGAAGAGGAAGAAGACGAAGAGCAATGCGGTACCGTAGACGTCGACGTTGTCCTCGCTGGGTAGAGTCGCCTGCAGCGAGTGTGGCAGCCGATGGACCGACAAGCTGATCGAGTGCTCGTCGTCGGTCAGTGCTTTTAGCAGTACGTTCGACACGAGATTCACCGACAGCGGAATGCTGAACATTGCGTAATCCGAGAAGAAGATGTTTGCCTGGGTGACGTTCTCTGTCACGTTGAACTCGGCCGCGCTGATCAGGTGATTTCGATAGGTCGCCATGTCTCGGCTACCCAAGTCCAACATAGCTGAAAAAATCATAATCATTTTTCTGTTCATTCGTTCTTCTGCACGTGAGAAAAATAAACATAAGCAGAGTTGTCTCTTTGTGAATTATGCATTCGAGATAGATCGTACAAATTTACAATGAGTTCGTTGAATATTCTTTCAGCAATCAATTCTCATTTTCAAGCGTGCGCGCGTGTGCATATACACTCGCAGACGCGTAATATAATCAAAAGAAATGACCGCCAATATTCTTAGTCTTGACGCTCGCTCAAGACGTATGATCATGCAGGCATCTATTGAAAATCATTCTACAAAAATTATTTATCTTGCTACACTGAATTCAAATAATAATTTCGAGTTACGTACAAATTTTTAACTTGAGTTGAGTAATTAATTCATAAAAATAAAATTACTTTTGAAAGTAAATTAAATATTATGAGCTCGCGAAGCAAATAAATATTATAAGCCGCGAGAATTTATTTATCGAATGTTCATTTTTTTATCAACTTACTATTTAATGGAACCGATCAATCTCAATTCAAAACTCATGTCAATACGTTTAAAAATTAAATAATTTTATTTAATGATGAAATTATTTACCAGTGGTAAGGCTGCTAAAATCAGAGGCATCGTGAGATTCTGCACCAAACATTTCCGTTGTATATTTGAATTTTTCAGCAATTAATGGATTTTCACTTCTTACGTAAGTCAAGGGCTGCGGGTACATATCAAGATGTAAAGGCATCGGAGTTGGTGCATCATTGGACATATTGTAATCCATAGCCATGAATATAACGCACAGTATCGGCAGTAAAATCTACAGTAAAAAAACAATGAAAATCACTTCGAACAACTTCTTCGACTTTTTTTTTTATTTAAAGTACTCACTATTAGGGCAACTGTGATTATATTTTTACGCGTGTAGGTAATTTTCTTCCGAAGTAATGCTAGTATTGACTGTATAAAAAGTGATTGACCTTTAAGTTTCGTAGTTTTATCCAAAAACGGTTGGCAGGAATCAGTAACATCTTCATTATCTTTTGTGACTCTGTTAACATTTAATGAGTACTTTAATTTTTACTTCAAACAACGAAGAACTAAAAAAAAATTACTTACTTAAGAAATACTTGTTCTAACGTAATGAGAGAAACACTCATTCCAGTAACACCTAATTCTTTCTTTTTCTTTTCCATTTTATCTAAAGAATCGGGTAGTTCTGGAGTATAAGGAATACTCAAAACTAATTTTCCTCCATCCAGATTGAGTATTTGTCCTCTTGCATCTAATTGGTCTAAACATTTTTGTGCGTCGCACCATGGTTCGGTAGATAATGTGACTTCAATGTTTCCGTGACCTAATAATTTTTTCAAAAACATCGATGTCCCATAACTTCTTAATCTCCCCTGGTGAACTATTGCTATTCTATCACCCAGAATATCAGCTTCTTCCATATCGTGGGTGCTTATTAATATTGTCTTTTGTCCTCTCATTTTCTAAAAATATTCAGTCATAATTAGTGACATTGAATATTTAACTTTTATACTTAAATTATCAAAAAATTACCAATATTATGTCCCAAGTATCGCGTCTACTTTCTGGATCCATACCAGAAGTAGGCTCATCCAAAATTAAAGTCTGAAAATATTATTACAAGTTAAAAATAACATATCATTTAGTATTCAAGTATTCACGTAACTTACACTTGAATCACCAATTACTGCCATTCCAAGACATACTCGTCTTTTTTGACCACCTGAAAGTTCTTTTGGCATAGCGTTTCTTTTATCAAATAATTTCAGTTTGTCTAACAAAACTTGTATATCGTTTTTGATGGCTGCTTTTGATTTATTTTTACCTTTCAACTACAACATAGATATAAATATTTAAAAATTTTTTTAATTAATTAGTTGTGAATATTTTGAATAAATGAGTAAGTAAATTAAATGGTTTAGTAAATTTACCATTGCAAAAAATTCAATTTGTTCGTAAACCGAAAGATTTGGGAATAGCATATCTTCTTGAGGGCATAAGCCTAAATCATTCATGATTACATTTGATTCTTCTCTTACATTTTTACCATTTATTAAAACCGTTCCATGTGTAGGGCTAATCATGCCTGCAATGAGAAAAATTAAAAAGGTTACTGATACTGTTGCTTCAAATAAAGGGAACAATATTTTTCAATATTAAAAAAATTTACCTGTTAAAATAGACATTAATGTAGTTTTTCCAGCACCATTATGTCCAAGTAAGGCAGTAATCTGACCTTTATAGAAATCAACTGATACACCACGGAGAGCTTGTACTTTCTGTGAAAAGAAATAAAATAAAATCAAAATTTCGAATTAAAAAAGGCCTAATATTTAAAATGAAATAAATGTTTTACCATTTTACTCATTAAATGAGTTCTGTATTCTTTTTTAAGATTTCGAATTTGAATTCCGGGAGTATAGGCATTCCTTGGAACTGATTCAAAAGGTTTATCTGCGTCATTAAATTCATAATCTTGCATTTCTTCATCGGCAATTACTTTATTCTTGGTTTTACCAAACTGATCAAAACAAAGAACATTAAAAATAGGTAAGTCAAAAAATTATTAATATAAAAAGTATAAATATTTACCTTCAAAAAGAATAGTGGATGTTTTTTGACTCCATATTTTCCTGGATGAACTCCATAAATATAAACTGTCATCAAAAAGTGAAAAACAGTGCCAATGATAGAAAATATCATTATCATTCCCACACTTCCAGCTGTTTTGTATACTGGATCTCCAACCGTAAACAAATTTTTCCACTGAATTCCCGTCACTGTAACATATCGTTTTCTCATTTCAAAATTAGTTTTCGATAGTAAAACGATGTGCATCTACTATTATTATTATATCAGATTTACTTACACATATTTTCATAATTATTGACTTCTTGGAATGCTCTAAATAGTAGAATGTTTGGAAAAAAGATTCCAAGATAAGGTACTGCTGCAAAATAATCTCCTTTAATACTGTACTTTTGCAACATACTAGAGCCACCGTATAGTGCCAAAATTCCAGATACCATAAATAAAGCTGGAACATTAATTAAAGATAAATATAAACTTTTAATATCATTAGTTAAACATTTTTTTACCAAAAATGTCAAGTATTACATACATTTGGAAAAATAGGCGGAGATATGCATTCCAAATGTTAATAAGTGACCAACATGTAGTATCAATGTCAACCAAAAAATGAAACTATTTCCATAATACAAATAAGGATGGACATTTTCAGTAAAGGCTATATTGAATAATAGAATTAAAGCAGTCACATATGATACACTAAAGATTAATCCGCTAATCAGCCAACTCAATAAATTTAAATAAGTTGGTACTCCGTTCATTGCCATTAAAACCTTAAAAATAAATAGAATATGTAAATAATGTAGCTTAAATTGATTCTATGGTTTTGAAAAAATAAAATTTAAATTTACATTTATTCCAATGAATTTTTCTTCTGCTGCAAAAGTTGATTCTATGCATAAAGGTATTAAAAATGCAATTACAGCAAAGCCACAAAACATTATCCTGGTTATTAGATCGGCTTCATCTATTTTTATATATGGTGGGTATGGCATTTGTTCCAGTGATATCTAAGAGCAATACAATTTTTATTATATTAATATTTATTTGATAGAAATGACGTTAAAATTAATCTTAAATGAATAATCATACTTGTGTTTTAAAAGGGGGATTTGGAGCTTTCATTTTAATGAAGGCTTCATCTAAACACAATTGAATCTGTGTGAAAGGTATGATGTCATTGAATATTTGTTTTACAGAATTTGAAAAATTTTCATCTTCTATTTTGTACAATATATTAGGAATACTATAAAATGTTCTAATTGCATAATCTAATCGCTTGGTTGTAACATTAACGTGATCCTTATTAAATACTATAGCTACAACATCATTCGAAGGACTTTGTGTTTGATATAGAGCATACTTTTGAAGCATTTCTTCTTCAGAGTTAAAGCCAGTAATTTCTAAAAAAAAAGTATTTAGTTATTTTCATGTTACATTACTATTAAAATATTGTTCTTGATAATCCTTACTTCCAGCTGTGAACTTTAAGCATTTTCTAGTTTTTTCTATTAAAGTTCTGGTAAATCTGTTTTCGGGCACAAAGTAAATCATAGTCTGATAATTGGCTGACTGTATAAGTTCTTCTTTGCTCTCAGTTTCATAGTAAGTGTTATTGACAAATTCTTGAGGCTGTTGAGCTGAAAAATCTCTACAAGCCTGTATTAGCATGAATAGCAAAACAGGAATCAAGATTTCTACAAAGAGACCCATTTTCCAGTGCCTCTTGCGCACCAAATAATTTTTGTAAAGCAAGAGCCTGAACATTCTGAATTTTTCCTTCATTTTGTTGATTTAATTGAACAAATTTGATCCCAAACAATTGTGGTTTTTGTATTTTGTAGTATTCTATGTATTTGCCATTGAGAAATTAGTTGGGTCAAACTGCTCTAATCTGATCAGAAATGTCCTTGCTTCGCTAGACGCTCAACTGTCTTGACTTGTGACTGGTTGATAATCATTGCCAATGCAAGCAGAATGAAGAATGCAACAAAAAGAAGCCTGAGAGTGGTAATTGATCAAAGACCAAGTAGATACCAAAGTATTTTGCAACCTCTGCAAGTTTTACGCATGTACTGTGACAATATATGTATATAGAAGATCATACTATGTTGCCATGACAATAAGTATAGTGACAGAATATATTTTCATGAATATTCAACAACATTTTGCACTCATAATTGAAGCGAATCAGCCGAATGTTAATCAGCTGATAGATCGAACTAGGAGAGACATATATCGAGGCAAGCTGTCAACAAAGAGTTGTACACAACACTCGGACGTGTGCAGTCAATCTGTCGGAGTTTTGAATCACATATTATACAAGAATTGTATATAACCTCTCGCTTGGGAGACGTCAAATTAAAAGAGCCTTGAGCTCTTGAAGCATCGAGAAAACGTGTAATTCTGAAAAATTAATGTAAAAAACGTGACTGCCAAAGGCTCTATAGACGGTATATGTACTTGAACTATAGAGCAGTGCGAGGTGAGAGCAGAAAAAGTGTAAATATCGGAGTCGCCCGCGCGCGCATATGTACACAACTCACAGCACACATAAGTCACAACACAGCGTTGTAGGAGTTTTGACGTATCTTGCACGCGCGCACGAGCAGCTCTACAGCACCTCGGCGATGCTCGCGTTATGGCGCTTACGGGCAGACTAGTGAACTTTCGCGGCTCGGCGCATTATACGAGTCCAGTGCAGAGAAAAAAAAGAGAGAGAGAGAGAGAGAGTCTCGCCGCAGCCGCACTGACTGAGCCTCTATACATGTATACAGAAATTGTATGCGCAAGGGGGTTGGGTATAAACAAAACGTCGATCGGATGTTCGGGCGACGTCACGCCACCTCGGCCAATGGGAGCGCCCGATTCCCTTAGTACCGTTACGGAATTTCCCCACACACGCCGCGCCGCCGCCGCCGCCGCTGCCAGTGTTCGCTTAAAAACTCACTATATAGTGCGTCGGCTCGGTGCAGTCGAGGCTCGGAGTCGGCTCGGCCGTGGTCGCGCACATGTACACATATATATATCCTTCTATACACGCGTGAATATTTAGCTCGTATATCTGCCTTTTCAGCTTGTGCGCAAACTGCAAATATAATAGCTAGAGGCATAGAGAGAGAGAGAGAGAGAGCGGAGAAGTGGTGGTAAGAGTCGCTGCTACATAATACGCGCGAATCGGCAAACGAGTGTATGGTCTGATTTTTTTACAACCGCCACGAGGCGACAAAGGCTCGCGCGCAGGCTTCTGCAAATATATGTGCAGCGTTCGTATATATGCCTATATTTATACTGCCTTGCCACTTCGATGTGATTCAATTCTGCATAAATCTATTGACATAGTTCTCTACGATCGGCAAACCGATTGATTGTTGTTTTCATACGCGGAGCAAAATATTTTCCTGCATGAAACTTTGTTTATCGAGATGACAATATTCCCGAGAGGACGATTCAATGAATCCTTCAACTATTCACGTTTGGTTTTTCTCAAATAAAGCGTCAAATTATGAAATGAAAAAGGAAAAAGGAAGCGTCTTGGAGAAATAAGTATATAATTTATTCAGTCAATGCAAACAGAGACGAGGCATATAATTCAGGATTGTATTCACAGGTTTTTGCTGCGCGTTGGCAGCTGGTATATGGCGAGTCTTTGGTTTATACTTATTGCACGTGACATATTCGCGCGAATTCCCAAAACTGCAGCAGGCTCGCACTAACTTGGCTCGCCTTTCATTTAGCGCGTTAATGCGATGCGGCCGAGAAAAGGTAGATCTGCAGCGGAGCGTTCCACAGTGGAGTTTGACTCAGACTCCGAAATCCTCGGGTCTTGGAATCCTTTTATTTTCCCTGCAGCTGTGCACGAACAACGATTTGGTCTTGGAAGCGTCGACAAATCGAGTCGGGAATAGCTAATACCGGATTGCGACCCCTCTCATGTGCGCGCGTGAAACTCGCGGGTAATATTAAATCGGCATTATATCATAGCATCGTAAGCGCGGTATTGAATAAATACGAACGATAATTGTAAGCATTAGAGGCGCACAATGTACATCGAAGACACTACTATAGGTTTTGTCGCAGTCGATCGTAGACTCGTATAATTAAACGACGCTGCGTCGCCTATTAAGTGTACCGAGCGTGTCTATTTATAAAAATAAAAATAAGGAGCCGTACGGACGGTGCAGTCCATTTAAAGACAAGACTCGTGATTCGCAACGATCGACTCATTCGTCCCGATCAGCGAATTGTCGCGCGCGCACTTTCGGCCTTTTTCCTCGAACGACGCGACACGCGCTCTTTATCGCCGACTGGACGCACAAAAAAAGCCATCGCCCGAATGCGAGCTGCTCCGAAAGCGAAGATAGGCCTCCAGGATGCACAAAGAGAGCATTTTAGGCAAAAATCTCTACATATAGGCACCTATATAATGCGGTATACATGTAATACGCTTAATGAATCATTGGCAGTGGGTTGAGCCGCGTATAATGTATAGTCTCGTGGCATCGAGCCTCGCTCGTATTCGCAACACGAGTTTGTGCGTGTCTGTGTGTCTGTGTGTGTACAAAAGTCACGCCACATGCGGGTTATTACACCGCGTCGACGGCCGTCTTGTACTTCTGCGACGACTTGTGCCGCCGCTCACATGCGCTTCTCTTCGTATGTATACATTCTGACGCGCTGCTGCCTGCTGACGATTACGAATACACAAATTTGTTTTTAACTGCCTGTGGCCTGACGGTAGTTAGGCGATCGCGCGATCAAACAATTGTAATATTTGATTACACCGCTCGAGCAAGCAAAAAAAAAAAACGAACAACTTTGTCAGCGGCAGCAGCAATTCCGGCTTACGCTGTCGCGACAAAAAAAAGGAGCATTTTTCTTCGTCCGCAGCGATTTTCGCGCGTGCAACATACCTACACCAGCGCGCGATCGCTGCACGAATAGGCGCGTATTTTCGAGCTGCTAATTCACCTTATACTTAAACTCTCGGCTTATAAGCTATAATATGTACAGTACACGAAAAGACACACTCGAGCGAGCGGAGCTATACAATTTTAATTCTAAGAAGCGGTCGGATTGCTCGGCTGAGCGGGAACGATGCAAAAAGGCTCCTTGCCCGTCGTAGAAACGAGATAGGTCCGTTCCGGGAATTCGTACTTGTCGGCATTGATGCCCATTTCGGGGCAGGACGAGGCGTAGCACGAATCCTCCTTTGCTTCTGTCCGCTGCTCCGCCGAGCTCCCTAATTGCCAGGGACGCGCCGTGAATCTGCACCGGGCTGCCTCTTGTTTTCCCTCGCTGTAAGCTACCTGTTTCACCGACTCGATGAAGACGATCACCGAGTGGAAGTGATCGCAGATTCCGCCGTTCAAGGCTGCGCGATCGAGAATAGATCGGTAATTTTTTTTTTTTCTTAATGACCGATTAAAATTGACAAAATCGATGTAGAAAGAAAAGTCGCGAGCTTACCGAAGGGAAAGAGTTTGTGGTAGCTCAAGTCCGTCATGGTGCGCTGCTTCCTGAATACCTTGAAAATGGTCAGCTTGTTGCAATCGGGCTGGGGGCCACCTCCGTTGACGTAAAAGTCCGCGTGACCTGCAACAAATCGGTTGTTTACACAGAGCGCTATCTATAGCAAGCCGAGCTATAGCCGCGCTGATTGGTCGCTAACCCACCTAGAGGCTCGAGCAGGCCGAAGGCGCTGTTCTTGCTCCTCGCCACGGCCGTGTGAATGACGTCGACGAATCGAGCGCTGTCGTTGGACAGCCTCAGCGGGGCCTTGCCGATCGTCTCGAAGCAGGGCTCGGCCGGGTCCAGGCCGGTCACCCGGTCGATCTCGAAGCCGTCCTCGTACTTGAGCAGTTTGGCCGCGTGGCCGACGGTGTGAGCGCCGAGGCTGTGCCCGATGAAGTGCACGTGGCCCCAATTCTCCTGCAGGATCCGGGTCTTTTGCACGAAATGCTGGTCCAGACTCTTGAACAACCTGTTGGATTTTGTCGTTATTTACGTCGAGCTGACACGCGCTGTTAGGAGGCTCGCTATGACGAAAGCGCGAGCCGAGTGACGAAAGTCGAAAGTTTGCTCGGCGTCTCGCCTGCAATATAATTACGCGCTGGCGAAACTCCAATTTCATCGTACCATTAACGCTCGTGATGGATTAATTAAAAATTGACTCGGTGCGAGGTCGAGCTAAAGATTTTCCTCATTTTCTTTCCGTTTTTGTCGTCCTCTTTTTTTCTATTCTTAATTCGTTGACAGTTGATGTCGGTCAATTGGCGCAAATCGATAAGAGGACCGGCTACACGTGTCTAGAATAGTTTTTCGAGCACGCGTACATAATTTTTTTGTTTTCTATATAATGCAGACGATTCGAAGGCGCTTTACGATGGGTCGACGAGCGGCTTCTCGAGAACGATTACCGCTGTGCACGTCTTGGTGTATTTAACAAACGGCGCAGTAAGCATTGTAAGCATCGCACGCCGCGAGGTGTACATAAATCAACTATCGTTTCAATAGCCATCGTACTATGTTCGGATGCGTATGATATATATAATGTCGTCGTGCGTCGTTGCGTACACGTATGACTCGAGTCGTTACCACTATCATTTGAATACTGCACACTTATGCGCGCGTGTACGCTCGAGTGCGCCAGTCATGACGAGGAACTTCTCGGCTCGAGAAAGAGCGCATCTGTCGAACTTAAACTATAATCGCGTCGTGCGCGGACTGAATTTTAAATGAGCATTATTATAGAGAGGCTTTTTTGTTGGAGCACGAGCGCGCGCGCGCGACTTTGCACTTTCATAAGCACCGACACCGCGCGCTGAATTACAAACACCGAAAAAAAAAACTGTCGATGTAACTTCTTTCTATTCGTCTTTGTGCGTTACGAGTGTATTTATATATATTATTATGTACTTACAATCGAATTTGCTTAGCCACAAACTCAGTGTCGGCAGCCGCTCGCTCGTAGCAAAATAAGTTTGTGCACACTTCCTCCCAGCGGACAATTATCACGTTCATGTTTTGCTGCAAACCCAAATGAATTAGCATAATATTTAAACTGCTCGATTCACAAACAACCACACGCGCACCCATTTATCAGCGTATAAGCTCGATACAACTTGGACCGCAAAGAGTCGTATCGTGTCCTTGAAATCGGTAGTGACTAACCGATTTTGTTTCGATTTCTTTCGCTTACCCAGGCGAGAAGGTGCCGCTTCAAAGCTCGCATCGGATCACCGTAGATTTTGCCCAAAAATCCGTGTACCAGAACTGCTGTCCGGCGATGTGGCTTGAAGTCGTAGTGCTGCGAGTCGAACTCGTTGTCCAGCGTGTACAGCTGATCGGACTTTTTTCGGCTCGAGAAGAAAAACTTCACCTTGAACGTGTCGTAGGTCAGCTCGGGTTTCCAACAGTTCAGTTTCCTTCCCAGATATTGATCGATCTCTTGATTAGCACTGGCCAGATGAAAGGATCCGCAGAAGAGAAACAGAGCGGTCACCGAGAGCCACGAACGACGCGACTCGCCCATCATTTTCGAACGGATATCTTTGCGAATTCGATGGATGTTGGCTCGGAGCCGTGCTCAGGCCGTTTTGAGCTCTAATTTGCGCTACATGGATTTTTATACATATCATATGGACGGTCTGTAAACGAGCTCGCAGCGTTGATAAAAATATTTATTCAGTTTGACACGAAATAGTGCTGTAATGTAGGTAAAGGTGAACTTTATCGGTGTGCCCAAAAAGAAGCAACAAAGAAAGAACACAAAAAAACCATCATCTATTTTTCTAGGTAAGTAAAAAAAGCCATCGGCTTGCAAACATTGTATCATATTAGCGTGCTGAAATAAAAATGACTCGTCGAACGATAAATCGAGGGACTGCCATTGGCGCTTATCTATTTGCAGTCATGACTTGGGCTCAAGTTTATAGTTCGCGTATAATATTTCGCTCTAAGCATGTCAATGAATTTTATCTTTGACAATTTGTTTTTTATTACTTTTTTTTATTCAATTTGCATTGAAATACATTAAATTAAAACATACTAAACATCAAGGAGTCTTTCATGGAAAGATGAACCGTATAATCGGACTTGACGTAGTACACGTTGTGGCGATTGTTCGAGTACTGGTATTTCTCGGCGTTTATTCCCATTTCTGGGCACTGCTGGTCGGCTGAACATGAACTCAGCTGACCGACGACCGGCTGCTCGTTAGTGTCGAAAGTCAAATTCCAAGGTTGGGCCAGGTACGAGTGCTTGTTTTTCATCTCGTTGTCCACCGAATCGATGAACACGTAAACCGAGTAAAAGTGATCGCAGACGCCACCGGACATGACTGAAAAATACATAGCTCGTGTATGGTTGCGACCAGCTATAGAAAGTACGAAGGAGCCAAGTACGAGTTCAGCCGGACTCACCGAAGCGCGTGAGCTTGCAATAATCCGAGGCGCAGCTGGGCACGACGCTTTTGAAGATGCTGAGTACGGGTTTGGCGACGCTGCTCATCAGATTGGCCAGGGCGACTTGGCAGCCGGGCTGGTGCGTGCCTCCGTTGATGTAAAAGTCGGCATCGCCTTTGATCAACGCGTGGCCGCGCAAACAAGAGGAAGTAAACGATTAGCTCGTAGGAGTTAAGTGCAGGTATATGTATAAATAGGAGCTGCGGTGCATAATAATAAGTACCCAGTGGATCGAGCAAACCAAAGGCGTCGTGTTTGCGGTGGGCCACGGCCGAGTGCAGCACGTCGACGAATCGGGCGCTGTCGCGCGACAAGCGCAGCGGCGAGGCCTCGTCGATCTCGAAGCAGGGCTCGGCCGGGTCCAGGCCGGTCACCCGGTCGACCAGCACTTGGTCGTTGATCTTTAGCAATTTGGCCGCGTGACTAACCACGTGAGCGCCGAGACTGTGGCCGATGAAGTGCACGTAGCCCCACTGGCCGCCGACTCGCGATCGCTTTAAATTGCTCACCAGCCTTTGCGGTTCGGTATACAAGACAGACAATTATTCATAATTATGCATGCGAGGCTCGATATAGACAAAGCGAGCGAAAGATCGAGAGAAAGAGCGAATGAATGAAAAGAGCACAATGTGAATGTCTCGATTATGCAATAATGTTGCGCTTACAAGCGGATTTGCTTGGCGGTGTGCTGAGTATTGGCCACTGCCCGCTCGTACTGAAAGGTGTTCTTGCAACCCCTCTGCCAGTCTACCAGAATAACGTTCGCATCTTGCTGACGGGAATCATATTCGCAGTACAGAAGATGAGCTTATTTCATTGTGAACGGAATACGATAAAGATTATTATACCCATCGGAGGAGGCTTTCGGTGAGCTTCTGCATGGGATTGCCATAGATCGGGCCCCTGAAGCCGTGGCTCAGCAGGAACGTCCTCTTGCTCGGATCGAAGCTCCTGAAGTGGCGAGTCGCGTCGAAAACCTCGCTGCTATTTAAAAGCTCGTGTCCAATTGGATTTCCGCGACGGTACAGGTGAAAATCGATCTGGAACTCGTCGTGCTGATGCTCTAGCTGTTGCTGTTGCTGCGTCAGAGTCTGCTGCGGCCAGCAGGCGAGATTGCGCCTGATGAGGTGCAAAAAGACGCCGCCGACGATTCGAAGCGTCACGGCCAGTGCCGCGATGACCAGCGCTGTCCTCAAGATTACGTGCGATTTTTTCATGACGAGCCGGTGACGCGGTGCAAAGAGAGAGAAAAAGAGAGAGAGAGAGAAAAGTGCGCCACGCGATGACTGCACCAAATGTATTCTCTATATTTTGCGGAATATTCAATAAAATTTTCAGTCGTGTTAATATTAATGCATGCGCGAGTGCACTGAGATGCGACTAGACGCTAACTGCCATGCAAATACATCGCGGCGCAAAAGTATAGTCATCACGATGTGTGCATGAAAAGAAAAAGAAAAAAAAAGGAAACAGAGAGACAGAAAAAGAAACGATAGTTTTTGTACGTTATAGTGTTTCTTATGCTCGTTTCGGCGACTCGTGCACCACCGACACCGCATTAGCGCGCCGAGACATTGTATTCGTGCATTGTAATATGTACGTGTGCACGCGTACACGCTTTATGCAGTTCGTTACGTCTTATTATATTATCGAGCCTCGGAATCACTCTTCCGACTGGTAATTGATTGTCCGACGATCGTAAGAGGACGTCTCGTGTTTATATTATGTATCGATTGCCTCGAGACGTACCCGCTCGCGTTATAGAGTTGCAGCCTCGGCCCGCCGTCACAGCTCTCGAGTCACAGCTTCCGTCGCATCCCGCTCGAAATCTTCTCCGACTTACTATACACTCGGGACTGTTTTTGCGCACAATTTTTACGTCTCGGCACGATCTAGCTGCAACAAAGCCCCCGAGACTCGTTCATTAAACGATACTGAGGCTAGCGTATACTCGATGCGCGCAAGTATAATTTTATTGCGAATGCAGTATGTAGCACTATCGGCACTCTGTCTCCGATGTACGCGCGTGTATCATGCATGCAACGAAACAGCGATTCCCCACTACCATTTTTTATCGCGCGTCCGAGTTTTTTTTTATATGCACGACAGGCCAAGAGATATTTACCCTTGCGCAAACGCATATCTTTCTCGCAGCTATGATCTTGGATATTATTATCGTTTTTCTACAAAGACCCATAGGTACGTTCGGATTTATGGCTTTGCATTCGTACGACTTTTACGCGGCTGACCTTTATGAGGGAACCCTCAAGATTTTGAGACTTACTGAAGCCGCGATCCTAATATATGCGCCTAATATATTGTAAATTGAGTACGCTTTTTGAAGATAGTAAAAAGTATGCCATTCGAGGTGATATAGAGTCGTAAAATAATTTTTAGCTTTTATTGACTTACAACTATCTCCTATAAGAATACTGTAACGTTTATATTTCTATTCAATGCCGCATATTTTGCAATTGAGCCACATACACATGCATTAAAATATCGACCTTGAGACAACTGCATGTACGCTTCAAAGTACTCACATCGAGTGTCAAAGATCGATAATTTACTTTCCATAAAATGCTGCTTTCGCTCGAAATCGTCGACAAGCATGAAAAAAAAATCCGGTCAAACTTTACAATAAGGATCGGCATCGTTGGTAGCCACGTAGAAAATTCGCAAGCCATCCTTGTAGTCAAAGTTCTCGGCCTCGATTCCCATGTGCGGGCAGCTGTTGGCGTTGATGCAACCTGTCGAGCGTGGCTTGCTATCGCCGAGTCGCCAAGGTTGCCCGAAAAAGCTGCATCTCTTCGTGATGGCCAATTCGACGGACTCGAGGTAAACCAAGACGGCTCGAAAATGATCGCACACGCCACCGAGGAAGACTGCGGGTCAATACAGCGTGATCGGTTGTGAATAAATATGAGATAAATTTTGAGGGGAGCGAAATTCAAATGAGATATCTTACAGGCATGAGGTATGAGGAAAACGTAATTGAGATCGGTTGGAAAAGATCGGTTGATGATCGCTCGCTTGGATCTACCGAAGAGGTTCGTGATGGGGTTGCAGCCGGGTTGGGGTCCTCCTCCGTTCACGTAAAAATCCACGTGACCTGTCGATCGACAACTATATCCTATACGGATCGATTCTTTTGCAAAATTTCAACGGCAAACATATTACTCACCGATGGGTTTTGGCAAACCGAAGCCGTTATTTTTCCACCTGGCTATGTCGGTGTGAATGACGTCGACGAACTTGGCCTGACGCTTGGAGAGTCGAAAGGGCGACTTTCCCGGGGCCTCGAAGCACGGCTCGGCCGGATCCAGGCCGCTAATCCGATCCACGCCAAAGTTATCGGATTTTCGTAGAAGCGAGGCCGCGTGACCCGACGCGTGAGCCCCGAGGCTGTGACCGATAAAGTGGACTTTGCCCCATTGTTCGCGGCTTACGTTTCGGCCGATCCAGTAATTATTTAAGCTGCTTAACAGCCTGACGACGACAATTTAGCGTTAATCATTATTATTATTTTTGTTGTAAGCCGTCGGCGAGGCCGCGTGCGCTAAACGAATATCGCGCGATTTTTGCGCGTCTGTAAATATTTATCGACTCGTCTGTCTGCGGCCGACTGTTACGATCGACTCGCTTGCAATAATTAATTGCTCGTGAACGAAAAAAGCACGCAGAGATAAGAGTTGTACAAGAAAAGCAGGCACAGATCGAATAAAAGTCATTGAGCCGCTTTAAATTATACGAGTCATTGCGGTATCTCGGTCCACACGTCTATGAAAAAAGAAGCAAAAAAGCTCTTACGATCTTATGGTTAAGGCAGTGAATTCGGCGTTGGCAGCCGCTTGCTCGTACAGCAGAAGATTCGAGCATCCGGCCTCCCAGTTTACGTAGATGACGTTCATGTCTTTCTGCGTGCATCAACACATGGGAAACGTGCAAAAACCATTTGGATTTTCAATCGAAAAGAAAGATGGCAAGTTTCGTACCCAGGTCAAAAGTCGCTCCTTCAACTTATTCATGGGATCGTCGTAGAGCTTGCCCAAGTATCCGTGTACCAGGACGGCCGTCGGGCGCCTCGGCTCGAAGTCGTACCTGCTGACGTCCAAATTGCCACCGGCCGTCCAAACTGCCTCGTAGCGTCTGCTGGCGAAGTGAAAATCGATCTGGAACTCGTCGTACCTGAGGAACTTTGGCCAGCACTTGAGCTTGCGAATGAGCCCACTGGCGTAAGCCGCGTCGCTCCTGCGATATGGCCAGAGAGCCGCCGACACCACGAGCACCAGTTGGATCAGAGCCGCCGTGTCCATTTCGGCTCATAACATTTTTTTTGACAAACAATTTGCACGGCCAGTGACACTTACATATACTCGGAACGAAGATGTTGCTCGCTGCAGCGAGTCGATAACGACTAATAATTGCAGCTTATCGGTGGCTTTTAGCTACTTTTTTTCTAATATGCGTCGATTAATGCCATAATTATAAAAAGAACGAATATATCAACCTTATCGCGTTGTCGTGCGTCTCTGTACATGGTTGTAATTTGAAAAAAGTATATCGCTACACGCCTCGTTATCCGTACCCACAAGTGGGATGAGAAGCCCGCATAATTGACTTTGAATCGTTTCAGATCTGTTTCGAGTCAATTAATCGGTATATTTTTAGCGAAACAATAACAATGTATAAGCGAGCTCTGCTGTTTTTTCTTCATGAGAAAAATATACAAGACGTGTTTTGACGCATGCATCGTGACTCGAGCTCGAGATCGATCGTTTTCAGAAAATTATATAGGAATCGAGCGATTAACGCTCGTTAATCGACGGAGCTGCTGCAATTAATTTTTTTCGAGATCGCGACGTTACATTTAGAAAACATCCTTTAGCGATAACATTTTCTCGATCGATTTTTGTTTCTCTCTGGAAAGAAACGAGCGCCTCCGCGCGAGCTTTTGATCGACGTCGTTCGCGAAATCACGCGAAACTTTCACCTTGACATTGATCTATAGCCTTACGGGTGCGTATACGTGTACGTAGACTTTTTGTCCGCGAGTCTTTATCAATCGATAAGAGCGCGTACATGAAAAACCGGCCCAGCTACGTTGAGCGAGCCTGCGTGGGAGCTTTCGAGCGAATGTGGCTCGATCGACAAATTTTCGCAATTATTTTTGCAACTATTGCACGAAAACGGCGAGAGGCGCGCGTGTGCCGACGATCGGCCTGGCAAACTCTCAACGTGTCGCCAAAATATCTTATCTCGAGCATTATCTGTGTGTATAATAATGCAAATACGCGTGTGTCAGTCCTCGCACTCGCGTATCACAGGGATTTTGTAACTCCATGCGGAGAATTTCGCGCAAATCGCATAAGATAATCAATTTGTCGTTTGCCGAATTTCAAGTAGGATAATAGGCAGTGCTAGATAAAGTATCCTACAGTAGACTCGATCCCAATATCATGCTTCTATCTTATGCGTAAACAAATGCACGCGTGACTGCGGCTGCGGCGTCTGTCAAGGCCACGCCGACGATCGACTCTTTTTCATGCATAATAGATTTTCGCTCGAAAGTCGTGAATTATAGAGCCGTATGCCTTCCGCGAAGCTGATCATACAATATGCACAACTGCTCGAGTATTTTACTTTATTAAATGCTGCATCCAGACGCTTATAAAATACCAGCAATCGGGGACTGATTGCTACGACGACTACGTCTGCGAGCTAAACCCGAAAGGCTAAAATCTCCAGCCTAATTAACGTTTAATTTGCAACTGATTAAAAAAGTAATGCACGTATGTGAAATTGCCACGTATCAATTGGCCACCGAATCGTCAAGTTCATTTTTCGAGATGCGATAACCGGACGTAATGTATCCGATTTCCGATTAGTCGTCAACTCGATATAAATTGGATTTTTACTGCAATTTTTGCCCCTTTTTCATCATCGCATCAATGTCAATTAAAAACATTTCTGTGAAAATATTTTACATAATAGATGGCACGAGCGTCAAAAATAGAACACGCGAAACTTAGTTTATAATAAAAACGAGACCGAGGCCCTTGCTCTTGCCAGCCGCAGACGGCCAGCTATAATATAGGTAAAGACGTATATATAGCGCAGCTGCAGCATGTTTCCTACGTACGACGCATCGCGTGGCCTAACTTCCGTCGCTCGAATTGCAGCCCATATAGCGACTTGCACCGCATGCATTTCTTATATTATTAATAGTTATAAACGACGACGCGTATAAAAGCCACGCGATCGCGCGAGTGACGCCTGCGATTATATGTCAGCGCAGCAACATCGACTGTATATAGTTTCATGACGCTCCGCGACTGCTCGCCGACCGCCTTCTGCTGCTGTCACGCTTACGCGTGGCCACCACCGCCGACGACGCTCGCGGCTCGCGGCTCGCCTCAGCGGACAAAAGTTGAACATGCCGCCTTGTTGACGTTTGCCGATGCGACACATGCGATACGCTTGACGAGTCCTCCCTCAGTTTTCGACCTTTTTTTTCGTTCTTCGCGACTCCCAACCCCTGGATGATGAGTGAGAACATGGAGGAGCTATTCGAGAGAATCAAAGCGCTGGAGAACGAGCTGGCTGAGGAGAAGAGGAAGAACGAGGGTATGGCCCAGACGAGGGCCAAAATAAAGCAGATGTCCAGCGAGGTTGTCGACACCAACCCTTACAGGTTTGTGCCGAATACTCTTCGGATCTTTAAAAATCGTCACTACAAATACCCAACTACCTGTCATCTTCTTCACTTTTTATCAATGAGCCCTTTAAAAAAGCAGACGAAACTTTTTCTATCTCGGCCATTGATGATACGCATTCAACATATGTTTCCATTATTTAACGCGTCAATCCATGTCGCAATGATTTTTCAAGGACTAAATCCTTATTTATTGTTTCAGTCGTCTGTTGGCCCTTCAACGTATGGGAATAGTACAAAATTATGAGAGAATACGAAAAATGACAGTTGCTGTTGTTGGTGTTGGAGGAGTTGGAAGTGTCACTGCTGAGATGCTGACGAGATGCGGAATTGGAAAGGTACATTATTTTTCTTTGCTAATCCACATATTTGAGACGTCATTTTTTAATTGAAAATGTTTTTTCAAGCATGTATAATTTAATTTTTACAAATTTATTATTTCAAGTTATTTTTCGGTCTTTTAGATAATAGTTTTAAAATGTTGTCATTTTCATTTCAGTTGGTCTTATTTGACTATGACAAAGTAGAATTGGCCAACATGAACAGACTTTTCTTCCAGCCCCATCAAGTAGGTCAAACTAAGGTAGAAGCTGCAGCAATAACTCTGAGGTTCATAAACCCAGATGTAGAAATTGATACGCACAATTACAACATTACTTCAGTAGATCACTTTGATCATTTCATGAATACAATCAAGTATGTAAACTAATTGGCTCATTAATGATACTGATTTATAGAAAAAAATTTTATTGGACTAATTATATTCATTAACTAACTGGGGTATTGTTCAATTATTATTTCAGTACTTCCAGTATTAATGGTGGTCGAGTAGATTTAGTACTTAGCTGTGTTGACAATTTTGAAGCTCGCATGGCAATTAATACTGCATGTAATGAACTGAATCAAAAATGGTTTGAGAGCGGAGTGTCAGAAAATGCTGTATCAGGGCATATTCAATTTTTAGTTCCTGGAGAAACCGCTTGTTTTGCTGTAAGTATATTTTATGTGCAATGTGTAAAAAACAAATGCTAATAAAAATACACTTTTTTATTTTTCGTCAGTGTGTACCACCTTTAGTAGTTGCTGCAAACATAGATGAAAAAACATTAAAACGTGACGGTGTTTGTGCAGCATCATTACCTACAACCATGGGAATTGTAGCTGGATTTTTAGTTCAAAATGCTCTAAAATATTTACTGGAATTTGGAACTGTTACTCCTTATCTTGGATATAATGCAATGCAAGATTTCTTCCCAACAATGAGATTAAAGCCTAATGTAAATTGTGATGACAAATTTTGTAGACTAAGACAATCTGAATATGTAGCCAAACCAAAAATTGAGAAATGCGAAGAATGTGTAGAAGAAAAACCTTTACATGAAGATAATGAATGGGGTACGTCAAATATTTGTTGTGAATACAATGTTTAAAAATTACATCTGAATTAACTTCTTTTTTACAATAATTTACAGGAATTTGTCTTGTTGATGAAACTGTACCTGAAGAGTACGAAACAAAGAAAAGTGTTGCACCTGGAATATCTCAAGCTTATGAACTACCAGATCAAGATATTGATTTTGATATTGGGGCAGAAGCTGATATTGATACAAATGAACAGAGTTTGGAAGAATTAATGTCTAAAATGAAATCTATATAGTTTTTTACATTGAGACTAAAAATGAATATTTTATTTCATTAAAAACATGGAAAAAATTTTTTATACTTCATATGTTTTGTTTAATTTATAATTAAAATATTTACAGTATTATAAATATGTTGATATATACAAGTCTAAACTTAATTATTTTTTAATAAATTTGATGCAATTTATGTATCAAACTTATCATAACACACTGCTTGGCCTTCTTCTTCATATTCTTCTTTTTTAACAACCAAGGAAGAATAATTAGAATCATTTGCTAATAGGCTTCCACCTTCCCAAGCATATGTAATAGGGCTAAAAAGAACATCAGTCATTATTAAATATGCTACTTTGATTGATCACAATATTGTATACTTACTTTTCTGGCAGATGAATATTTATTTTATATTCTTCTGGAGCTAAGCTTCTAACATCTTTGAGAAGACGTTCACGAAAACCAGGAAATTTAGCGCAACCACCAGTTAGAACAATATTAGCTAATAAGTGAGGCCAAGTTTCTTCTTCACAAACTTTTATAGAATCCATTACAGCCTCTGGTATACCCATTTGTTTAATTCCAACATCAGATGGATGAAATAAAATTTCAGGAATTGAGAATCTTTCATTATTCATGCGTAAAACCTGAGAATCTGTGTCAGTTCCAGGATCAGTAAGATATCCTCTCCTTATATTTGTAAAATCAGGTAGTACATAATCTTTGACAATTGAATTTTCCGAAATTTTCTTTTTAGCGATTTCCATGTCATTATAAAAATCTTGAGATACAAAGCAAGAATCTTCTTTTACTTGATTAACAACGTAAGTTTCATCCATCACATGTAATTGTCTATAAGATAATATTTCTTTCAAGTGATTTGTCAGTAGCTTTCCACCAACATCTATTCGTCTTATACCAGCCTTTATTTTCATATCATTTACATAAGGTACTATATGGGTAAAACTGTAACCAACATCTATTACAATACAGCATTTAGCTGTAGGATTCTCGTGTCTGTAGTGATAGCAAGATAATGTTGAAGGATTTATCCTCAGTAAACTAGCCACTTCAAAATCTTCAAAAAATATCTCAACCATTGCCTCTTGTATGGAAGAAAAATTAAAAGGTGGCTCAGTGATGGTGATGGAGGTTTGACTCAGATTAATTGGGCAACACTCTTTAGAAAAAATGTAATCCCAGACAGTTTTTTGGATGTCCCAATTGACTATGTAACCCTTTTGGAAGGGTAGCATGAAGTAAAGGGCAGCTAAATCTCGACATTCTTCAATTTGATTTCCAATAAAAGGTCGACGCCGTTCACTTTTGGCTTTCATAATGCAATTTGGTACAACTCTATTAAAAGTAAACAATCACTTTTAGTCTTAAAACAATCTCAAAACAAATTTAGTGTAAATAACATAACCAAAAATGTTGTTTGACTTCTACTCACGTCGGAGTTGCAGTGGCAAGTCCAGCTTTGGCCGTGTAGGCACCGTTATCCAAAACAAATACCTGTGTATTCATTGTTTAAACAATTTCACTCATAAATTTTTAAATAATACAATAAAATAACAATTGCACCGGCACACTTTGCGCGCCGACTCTCAATTCGAAGCGCACAGTTGTTTACGTTCGTACGATTGGCTTATCCATGTCAGGTGCAACACAACTCACTCTAAACTGTAGTCTGCTAATAATGAGCAAAATTTACCGTCATTGAAAAAGAGAAAGCAAAATGTGCGGATTCGTTTTATGTTTTTTTTTTCAGCATTTGCTTTGCAGCTTAAATTTTCAAAATTTAATTTTCTGTCATCTTTTCTTCAATCAATAGGTAAATGGGTATTTTAATGGAGTTAAAAATGATTGGAAAACTACGAAGTATCAAAAAAATTTTTATTTGACATTTTAAGTAATACATAACTTGGGATAGAATAGAAAAATGCAACGTCTTCGTAATGATTCGATGGAGAAAACTTACTAAGATATTTATTTTGAAGAAAAATAGAAAAACCATTATTGTTCTTTTAATTTTCAGATAACACGACGTAAAAAGTCAGTCGTGTAGGTACGCTTAACAGCATAAAAAGTTTCTTACATCTTAATATGTGAAAAATTAAAATGCAAGCTTTTTTAGTTACACGTTAATAATTAAAAATTAAGAAATGCAAAAATTATCATACGAAGCGATACCATTTTACTAAAGGCTGATCGAAATTTGAAATGCCAATTTTTAAATGAATATTTGAAATTTGCACATCATTCTTACATCTTTTAAAATTGGTATTATTAATTTTTTTTTTCATTTTCAAACTTTTCAAAGTATATCTAAAGATTCAAATGTTGAAAATAATGAAATGTATCGAATTAAAACTCGTGAAAAAAATAACGAGAAGCTTCTCTTCTTCCCACCTAATTCAAATTCACGTCTTTAGTTAATGAGTAACAACATCTTTTTCATCGTCACCAGCATCAATTCTTTGATTTTTCATGTATTTTATAAATTTTTTTGATAAAAATTGAACGCAATATATACTATGATGAAAGTCACGAGATATTTCTGATGATTAAACGAACAAATTTGAATTTTTTGTCATTCTTTGATATTTTCGAATTTTAGTTTGATTAACTGGGTCAATTGAACGAAAATACAACATTTACTGTAAAGAGTGATTGACAAAATTTACTGTTACATAATTTATCATCGTTTTTACTCTCTTTTGCCGATATTTTGTTAATTTAGGATAGGCAATAGAATTTGAAAAGTCGATAAATTTTGGTTAAATAAATTCACAAGTTCTCGTGTGGTATGCATCGCTGAATATTGTTGCGATTAAGAACCGTAGAAAACTGAATGGCGCGAAAGTGCTTAGTCGAGGATATTTGAGATATTTTGTAATTCTAGATACTTTGAAAAAGCAAAATCGAAGCATTAAAAATCAAAATGTTCGAGCTCAAGTATGTATGCTGTAATACACAATGGAAGTGAAATTATTTATATTTTTTCTCATTTCCGGATATAGTTAATAATGACCAGTTACTTAAAAACTGGTACACTTATATTCCTGACAAAAGTCGTTCGATACATTTTTCAATTTTCTCTTTTGCATCGATATTTGTTTAATATCGATTACCTAAATAATTTTTTTATACATAAACTCCGAGTGACATGTTGGAACGTTTAAACACGTTCGCAAGTATTCGCAAATATATCTCTGTCAAGCTAATACAATCTCTCATTTATCTCTTTCACTTCTATGCAATCAACGCTTTTTATAAAGTTAACGAGGCAGTTTACTTTACACATAGTTTCTTTAATGTTGTTAGAATTCTAGATTATACAAATAGTACGTTTCATGTGTAGAATACATAACGCATTCTTAACTTAATATCTGTGAGTCACAGTGTAAATCCCCAAGTAATCAGTGAATAATGTAAGATCGAAATGTAAAGATCGTAACAACGTCCACGAAAAATTATCCATTACTTGATTGTAAAATAAGTTTTCATGAATAGTACGTATGTAAATTCGATCATGGTGATAGTTCACGTTTTATCATTTTATATGGTATTCAAAATTTCCGAAGTACTCATACGAGAATCGTGTAAACGTATTGTATATTTATATATAAATGTAAAATTCATCAGTGAAATTTCGGCAGCTGCCGGCTGTGCGGGTGTGATTCTGCCCGTATACGAAGCGCTGGTAGGTCGTCACGCAGCTCCGTCGTCGAGTTCTCGTCGGCATAACGCGATCGTCAACGAAGCCGGTGGTACAGATGCTGACTTTGCTGCTCCGTGGACGAGGAAGCGGCGGCTACTCGGATCGATCGTTAGAGCTGCTGCTCGTCCGATGCCAAATCGTCGAGAATGCTCGCGTCGTCGGGTGACGGCAACAGACCACTAGCTTCCGCGCCGCATGATGAGCCATCTGCACAGAGCAAACAGAAAACGCACAAACGGGTTGACGCCGAGCAAGCGCAACCCTTTCGTTAGGCCCACAGCTGCTCTGTTTTTTCCAGCTCTAGTGAATTTTTTTTATGATGTTGATGACGGTGAAGAGAGCGGCAGCACGACGGTAGGAGATGAAAACAGGTCTTAGCCAAGCGCTAAATGTATTTTCAATCAAGAATGCAGCTCTAGGTCATACACGTCTTACATCCTATACACAAGGGCCATGCATGATTTTCTAAGATGATTTCTCAAAAAAATACTTGCATTTTCACAAGCTCTACGTCAGACTGAGGCAGACTATTGTCGAAAAAAAATAATCATTAATTATTTTTTCCACATTTCTTGGAAATCTTGAAAACAAGTCCAACGATTTCGTAGCAAAGTTCAAAGAGGATTCATTTAAATTTATACCTACCTTTCAAGATTTCATAGAAATAAGTTAATGATAAATGGAAGCAATACACGTGAATTTGATTAACATTCCATTAAGGTGGTTCTTTCAATATTTGTTGAGACATGAGACCTATCCTATCTTATAGATTAAATCACGCTGAATTCAATGATATAATTATTTATGGGGCTTACGCTGCAAAATCTCGAGATATTTTATCTCAAAGTATGCTATTTTAACATGGGAAGCATAGAACGGCCACCATTCATATGGTATTTCTAATCAAAAATTAATTTGTTCGGGTATCGGAGTGTATAGGTTTTATAGAAAAAATTCTAATCTTTCAGCCTGTGTATCGTAAAACAGGGCTTACGCTGCAAAAAATCAAGATTTTTCACGTAAAAGTGAAAAAAACGATGTTTTTGCTATAAATCAGCTGATGTCAGGCTGCGCAGTACTTACTGCGCATACAAAATATACAGCTCTAGGCAAGAGTTCACTATAGAAAAACTTAAACTGAAAGAACCACCTTAAAGTTGAAAATATAAATTTGAATTGGAATAAAAAGATATAAATCATTTCATTCATCTAAATTCTACAAGATGAAAACGTATGAATCGGATAAAACTTCAACTACAAGCACATATATGCAAAAAATGCTGATTAAAATACCCGTAAAAAACAAGGAATGGGTTTGACACAAGAGAACAATTTATATTAATTTTCTAAGTATTATTGAACAACATGTTAACAAAAATGATTGATAAAACTACAATTTATATAATCAAAAACTGAGTTTTATTAATCGTCATTTATCAGAAATAAAAATAATCATTTTATTTGTGTTACAGCTCTTTTAATTTTTTAAATTTCTATTTTTCTTCAAAAACTTCATTAAATTTTATATTTTGAAAACTCACTTAAAAAAGTATTAGAGCTAATATAAAGGTTAAGTTTTACAAAATAAATCAAGTTTAACGTGTATTTCAAAACATTAAAATTCAATAAAGCTTTTAAAAATTTTATGTACATGTAACGTTATTTGTCACCACTTGATGGACATTACAAATTGTTACCCTAACTAATGAATATTTATACTAACAATGAATATCAGACGTACACCAATCGATAATTAATTGTACATCACATGAGAAATGGTCAGCAGGAAAGATAGGACTATTGAATAAAGAAAAAGCAAGTTGATAAAACTTTAATAAAAAAAATAATTTTCAGAATCTGCACCTTTTTATGTAGATTTGAATTGACTTTAATGTCTTGAAAAATACTCAATTTCTATAAAATAAATATAGTCAACATACAACAGCTTCAATCCTTGTAGGTGCTTCAATAATTTATTTGATAACTAAAGTAGCCTTTGAAAACATGACAGCCCTGAGTTGACTTCAAAAATTAATAATTTAAATGGCTTAAACTAACCACATTGTCTATTACTGAGTTCATTCGGTATTGTATAACATTTATTCAAAAATTGTTAAGAAATACTCAAGTTTTTAGCGTTATCTGTCTTATTACTGGCATTTAGACTAATGATTGCTTTGTTACACAAATTTTATACACAATTGCTCTTACTTCTTTTCTTTGAACAAGTTGATAAAAAAAACCAATATTACAAAAAGAATATTAAAGATTTGAAAAGAGTAAGGCATCTTTGTGGTATACCTAAATATAACTTTACACATTCTAAAATGTTTACATACGCAATTTCAACATGCATATGCCAAAGCATGTAAGTTACTGAAGCCGTTATGTAATATGTAATGACAGATTGGTTTTTACTTTTTTGTTGTTTTGTGTTGTATTAGGTAGAAGCAATTTATGGTGATGACATTACCTGGGCCGCTACTCACCTACAGGCAATGTGCCTGTCATGGGAGTAGGGGATGACGAGACCATGGCCATGCGGCCCTGATCCTTCACTGAAACAATTGGAACTGAAACATTCAAATATTTTATTTCGGTGTCTCTTTCACAATTGGAGCTGAAACACGAATTTAAAAGAAAAAAAAAAATTATTTTAAAAAAAGATTAATCATCTACGTTTATAGAGCAAATTAATATGTATCAATTTTTCATTTTTTTTGTTATATTGTTCTACATTCTTTTTTTTAGTTTGACGATGCAGTTGGGATTATAAAGAAATAAATTACTTACAGAAGTATGGATGATCCATGGCTTCGCGAGCAGTCAGTCGCTCGAAATGATCGTAGCGCAGCAACTTGTCAAGGAAATCAAGACTCTCAGGAGAAACGAGATGCTGATTGTCCGAGTGCACAAAACGCTCCCAACGCTTACGCGAGTGTCGTCCGAGTATATCATTGAAGCGAGGATCAAGTTCAATGTGATACTTATCGAGATACTCGAAAAGTTCTTCAGTGCCCAGCACTTTAGCGATCCTTACTAGTTGATCATAATTGTCATGTCCATGAAAGAATGGTTCTTTTCTGAATATCATACTAGCCAACATACATCCTAAAGACCACATGTCTAAAGAATAATCGTACATCTGTGAAAGTATGAATGTTAAAACAATGTGAAAAACTAAAAGGCAGAAACTAAAAATCATCATTAAAATGTACCTGGTAATCTACAAGAAGTTCCGGGCCTTTGAAATATCGCGAAGCAACACGCACGTTATATTCTTGACCCGGATGATAGAATTCAGCGAGACCCCAATCGATCAATCGCAGTTTTCTATTTTCATGATCAATCATTACGTTGTGTGGTTTTACATCTCTGTGCATAATACCCATGCTATGGCAATATTCCAATGCCTTTTTGTAAAAAAGATGTTGTTAGTAAATAATTATAAAATACAAATATGTTCACTGATGAATGAATAATACCTTCAAGAGCTCATAAAGGTAGTATCTAATATCATAATCTGATAAAGTTTGATAAAGTTGTTTGAAATCTGTATTGTTGACGTGCTCAAAAATTAATGCAGGTGTTCTAGAGACTGGATCTTTTACAACAGCTTGGAGTGTTATAATATTGGTCCCACCTCTCAAATTTTCAAGAATTTTAATTTCCCTCTTGATCTTCTTCTTTTTCACTGGCTGATATAATAAAAAACAAAATTAGCTTTTCTATAGAAATTATTTGAATATAAATAATTTAAAAAATTACCTTCAATATTTTTACAACACATTTTTCATTATTTGTAATGTTAATAGCTTCAAATACTTCGCTGTATTTACCACGACCCAATTTGCGCACTAATTGGTAATCATCTTGTTGACTATAAAAAAAAATAAAAATATTTGTTTACTTTTTAAACTGGTGGATATAAAACTTTAGCGGTTAAAAGACTTACCCCCAGTTGACAACATAAGATTCATAATCCCAATATTCTCTGGGCTTATGTGAATTAACATCTGTGTATACTCGTGCTCTACTTGGAAGCGCCATTGTATCAAAAAACTGTGAATCTACAGCACAATCGTCAGTGGTAGTATTCGGAGTCCAGCCGCCTGTATTAACTACAGAAAAAGTTTGTGCTCTAACAACTTTTCTAGTTTCTTTCACCCAATCTCTAATAAATGAGCGAGCTAACAAACCTGAAAAATATTATCACAATAAATAAGATGAAATTTTCTTTGTTGAATTTTTTTTTATATTAATGGGCAGCATATTAAAGCTGTTACATATAACAAAACCACTACATTTATTGGAAATTGAAAACTTTAGTTTTTTGTCTGCATAAGACTGGTTTTGCACTCAATTGAAATGTAAGATTAAGTTTAGTTTTAAATGAAGTCTAATGTTATTTAAAATTTAATAAAGGATAAATAGTTTAAATAATATTAATTAAGGCTGAAATGTAGAGATAATACAAAACAATAGATAAACCATACTTGTTAAAAGTTATAGCAGCAGAGAAGAATGAAGCAAGAGGGTTTATTTGCAAAGTAAATAAGCTTATCCAAAGCAGTAGAGTAGTATTGATGTACCAAACCATATCCAAATAAAATCCCAGCTACATAAAAATTATAGTTAAAAATATAGAAATATTGTTAATGATCAATTATGTGCTGATTAAATGAAAGAAAGTAAAGTGATAAAGCTCTCGTGCAAAAGATAGAGCTTTGCGAATCTAACCTACAGAGCTGATACACGAAACACGACACCCCTCTTTAAAGCCACCCTCGTACAAAAATCATTAGCTACAGTTTTTGTAGTCAAATATGCATAAAATAATGAGCTCTCCCTTACTACGTATGACCCAAGTCTGAATTTCTGAAAATGGCTCATAAATGTTAAATTTCCATCGAAGTTTTAAGCGAGAGAGAAGAAAAAAAACGTGCCTGCGCGAAACAGAAGTCGGTATACACGCACGCCTTATTCGTTCCGGTGTCTTATAAGGCGAGACCGTAACCGCACATGCTCGTCGAACTCCGCGAATTTACTGAGAGCGACATACCTGCACACGACACACGTTTTCTCGCAACTCGGACTTGCAGCTAGCAGCACAATGCTCTCAGCAGCTCATGTTCATTTTCGCTGGAACCCAGAGTAGAACCGAGTGAGAAATAATCGAAGGATAAAGTCGATATTAGAGCTGAATTGGCAAGTAGCATCCTCTTCATCGAGGCACACGTAGGCACGCGCGCGCCGCTACAGCGTACGAACGCGAGTAGTAGGTATCTGTCTCTTTCTCTCTTGATACTTTGGCTCGATTCCGTCCGTCTCTTTTTCACTCTCTGCGCGAATATTGCCATGAGAGCTGGCCGCACATACACGCAAACTTTATTCTATACGTGTATACACACGTTATATACGTTCACGTACACATACGAAGATATTTACACTCATCGAACTACTTCCCAAGCGATAATATGCAAATGACGACTTGTCTCGTGCAAAAAGTGCATTATAAAACGCATCGCGGCGTTATGCTCGCGATACTCGTGGCGAGCGCGATTATGCCATGAGATGCTAACCCATCGAGTCTCGACTCTCGCAAGCATATTCTACAAACGCTCTTATCGAGTGTAATACAACAACTTGGAATACAGACAACTACACCAATGCCACTATATAAATTATAGTCAACTAGTCTACTTGTACTATTACTACGAGTACTAAAACGCATGCTATAGTACGATATAGAAAAATAAAAATACTATTATTGCCAGAAGCTTAGGTTTGGCAACGGTTGCTTTATAACCCAATGTATGACGAAGCTGCATGCAAAAATAAGCGAGGTTTAGCTGGCTTTTTCTCTCTGGCCACTCGCATATCGGATCGATGAATTGGGCTGCTCGAGATCTCTCGAGCTGGCGTTAAAACGGCGCCGCTAGATGATAGCGAAAGTGTAAAGATCGAGAGCGAGAAAGAGAATGGAGACATACAAAAAGACAGAAGCAATGTTACGTACATACCTAATGCATTCCGGGCTAGAATGTTGATGGTTTGTCGGGAGTGCAGGGCAGAATTGGGCAGTAGGTTATTTTCAGGGCGAGCTGTTGTGTACTTGTGTGTGCAGCAGGCGGCAGCTAGCGCATCAGTTTTTTATTTTTTATATATATATCTTGTAAGTGCGTGCGCTACTATTGTAGGCTGACGGCGGCCGAGACTGGAGTCGGGTGTACAAACGAGCTGCTGTGGCACATACGCGATTATGTTCGACGAGCCAATTTTATTAAATGTATCGTACGGATAAGAAGTCGGGTGTAAAAGAACAGAAAAAAAGCGAATCGCCTTCCCGCTTGGTCAGGCTAATGTAATGTATAATTTTTGTATGGAACTCGGTGTGCCTCGTCGGGCCGGCTCCGCCAAGAAGTCTTAAGGCAGTTGGGCTCGACAAGCACCACACACTGAATCGCTGAGCAGCGACACCAAGGTGTGCAAAACTCTCTGTATACAGCAGAGAGCACAGCAGCAGCACTCGGCAGAGCGCACAGGCACAGCAAAGAGAGAGAGAGAGAGAGAGAGAGACGGAGTGAGAGAGAAAAAGATAGAGCGGCGGCGACGGCGGCGGCAGCGGCAAAGAGAAGTAGGAGAATCCAGCATATATATAATAATAATGAGAGAGAAGTAGGAAATATAACGCGAAGCGACGAGCAAAATGGCAGCCGGCACGCAGGCAGGCAGCGCGAAAACAGCCAGCAGCGGCGGCGCTGTGCGTTCTGATGCCTGCACGTTCGCGACAGCCGACTTGCGCGTTGCGCGCCGATATCGGCCTCTAGTTACACGGAAAAAAGCACCACATAGCTATAACCAGCAGTCAGCAGAAGCAAGCCAGAAAGCCAGGCAGCAGTACGTCACTCTCGCGTAACTCGACACTCGCGGGCTCTATATTTTCCATATCGATACGAGTCGATATCTGCTCCAAAAGGTCTTTTGCCTTATATCGTACACGGGACGACGAATTGACCGTAATGTACTGCAAATCGCAACTTGTTGATTGAACTTAAATCTACACTCGATTGAATTTTCCCTTTGAAGACTGAGTATGTTATTTACCCTCTGTCACATGCCTACCTAATTTAGCAGGCTTCGTCGCGTTCATACCCTGCTTTTCAAATTCTTGTTTGGGAATTAATATTGATAAGGTTAACTTGTTTGTCTTCTGCTCGTGCCCAAAAAAGTGAATGCGGCTCCCATTCGCTTTTTGTCGATTCTATTCCACAAAAAGAGAACAACTTTATTTAAAAATTGTATGAAGGTAACTGTGTGGGAGAAATTTTTGATATAGTTACTAATATATACCAGCAATTCAATTACAAGCGCGTTCTCATATGGGCTTTTTTTAAAGCACATCAATGCGACTTCCATGTCTTTTCCTATTAAAAACAACGATCCAACTTTAACACGAAAATTCCTGAATTTTGGACGGCGGTAAAATTTCTGAAATTATTTAAAATACTTATATTTGAACATTTTTGAAAGCAAAGGACGTTTTTTATCATCTTACAGTTTTTTTATGAAAACTATGTATCTGCCCTATCCTACTATAAAGAGAGACCAATCTAGTAAAATTTTTACTAAAAGACTAAATTTTACATTACAGTATAATATACAGATATATATTGTATATATACAATTATGAAAAATTACAACGAGTACAACAAATTTGAATAAATTGATTATTCAAAAGATTGTAATTTTTTTTCAAAATCTTTGTACTAGACTTAGTGTTTCATGTAAGTGTATATGATAATATACACCCAGAAAGTGAAAATTAATCATAAAGCTTAGCTAATATTGTATACATCAAGTACAGCATCACAATTATTTACAAAAACGCGGGACATCTACCGCTTTAAAATTTGCCGATATAAGCTCGCGTAGACTTCTCAATCTCTTCGTACTTATACTTAAATTTTGACTGGGTTTGATTTGTGCCATTGTATTCCGATATAAAACTTTATTATTGTCAGTTTTTTATCCGGAACATTTCGCGATGGAACCTCTTTAAATCTTTTATGATTGAACCCATTAATTGTTTAATTTCACAAATGAATAAAACCGCATAGAGCGACGTTGTCTTGATATCAATGCAAATAACTTATAATTTTACATTATATGACAATCAAGAACAAAAACGATTGTTTTTCCGCTCAAATATAGATTTCAATTACAGGTAATCTATCAAATCAAATATGATGATCGCACAAATTAAAATTGTTCATTATGTACATAGTTTCCATAAATAATTTTCGATGAGAACGATCTTAGAATTAATTTTTTCTAAACTAAAATTTATTTTCATTTTACAATTCAACGAAACACGATAACAATCTTTTAATTCTTTTATATTAACACTCCAATAGTACAATTCTATTCAAATTGTTAATATATTTTTAAAACTAAAATTATTTATTGTTTGTGGTCAATTGAAGAAAGTGTCTGAAACTCCTTTCATCGAATGAAAAAAAATTGTAAGATAATAATTTTTCATTGATTTAAAAAATATTACCATTACATATACAGACTTATTGATACATTACTCATCACCCCTTCTTAAATTGATGACGAAGACTCTGACGCATAGGTTTGGAGAAAAGCTTTATGTAACGAAAATCAGAATGGGAACATCAACCTTTTCTAATGTAACCACCCCATCATCGTTGAACATGAGTATCTATGTGAAGGCTAAACTGATGTATGTTTCTGGTCGCAACGTGAACGAGTGCAAGAAATTTGGAATACAGAAATAAATAATAATTATTTTATGTTTCCGTTCCACGATGAAACCCAGTTCTACGAATCATTCAAGCAGCATAATTTAAATTAAATAATAAAGACAAAACGTTATTTCTCAATTAAAATATGTTACTAAATGATTAGAAATCGTATGCAAAAAATATCGCGAATGAGTTATATAGAGCGCTCGTAGATGGTATCGAAATTCTGTTTATTCCGTTATAAATAATTTGTTATATTTATTTCTGTTTGAGCAAATTTAGGTAAATGATATTTACGCTTCGTCTCTGTTATAATGTTTACTGATTTGACAATAAGAAAGTTAATAAGAACCGACACGTTGTCATGCTCGCATCACTACATTTTTCTTACACTGGAGAAAAAGCTGATATTAAATTTGTGAATCCTGAACCATCGAAAAACTCCAATCACTTGAAGCCCAAACCATTTCCATTTGTTGGTGTTGTAAATTCCAATTCACCCATGTATCCTGAAAGCGTGAAGCCCGAATCAATGATGTTTGTCAGTACTCAAAAAGTATTTTCGGACCAAATTTGTCAATGTATAGAAAAAGCTGAAGAAAATATGAATGAAAAGGACTTTTATGAATACAATGCCACGTATCAGACGTCGAATATAAGGTAAAACACTTACAATAAAAATTACCAATCTATCAATAGACAGAAAACTCTCAAATAATTTCTGTTCTTGCATGTAGTAATGACTCGTCTGCTTTACCAAACATAAATGTACGGGGAACATTAAATTACTACCAATATAGTGCAGGCCTAGATAATTTAGACCATATCTATGAAAATAGTTCCGATTCGTCGATTTATTTCAATTCAAGCGACCAAACAAAATGCGCGTATCAAGAATCTGCAGATATATTGTCTACACGTAATTTAAAAGATATACCAACAAATGATTATGCCTTTAATCCTATGTCACTGATTAATCCCAACGAAATCACACATACAAATTTATACGAAAAATTTGATGATATGTTTGAAGAAATGTCTGCTGTGTCGCCTGCACAAGTTGAGGACCAAATAACAATAGATGATTTTAAATTTGATCCTTTCGCATTAATTGATCCAAAATTAATAACATATTCAAATTCGTACGAAAAACTTGATGATATATTTGAAGAATTTTCTACTGTGCTGTCTGCACAAATTGAAGATAAAATAACAACAAATCATTTGGGGATTGATCCTTTTGTGTCGGTTGATCCAAAAGAAATAACATTTTCAAATTCGTACAAAAACGCCGATAATATGTTTGAAGAATTGTCGGCACAAATTGAAGACAAAATACCAACCAATGATTATACCTTTAATCCTCTGATTAACTTAAACGCAATCACACATTCAAATTCCTACGAAAAATTTGATGATATATTTGAAGAATTGTCCGCTTTGTTGCCTTCACAAACTATAGACGAAATAGAAACAAATGATTTTGAATTTGATCTTTTGGCATTAGTTGATCCAAAAGAAATAACAAATTCAAATTCATACGAAAATACCGATAATATGTTTGAAGAATTGTCCACTATGTTGCCTTCACAAACCATAGACGAAATAGAAACAAATGATTTTGAATTTGATCTTTTGGCATTAGTTGATCCAAAAGAAATAACATATTCAAATTCATACAAAAACACCGATAATATGTTTGAAGAAATATCTGCCGTATTTCCTACACGAATGGAAGTCAATATACCGACAAGTGATTTTGAATTTGATCCTTTCTTATTAGTTGACCAAAAAGCAGCAACGAATTATAATTTAAGTGAAACAACAAATTACACGGCTGAAGAAAAGTTTTCTGCATTATCGAATGAAAATGGAATACCAATAAATGATTTTGAATTTGATCATTTTGCATTAAGTGACCCATTCACTCTTTATGAGTATCATAAAAACATTCTTGATACATCATTAGATTTATGGACCCTGGATGAAAATCAAGAATATTTGAGGCCCTCCGAATTCAACACCTACCATACAACAAACAAGGTTGAAAATTTAATTAGTTCAGATAATAAGAGCGTAGAAAAAATGAGAAATAAAATCGAAGAAAATATTGTAGCATCTGAAAAAAATATCACGGAACCAGCAGGTCATTCGCGAAATGAAAAAACAGACTGCATAGATAAAAACGTTGCAACATCAAACTCTATTATAAACACGGTAGTAAATTGCCGTTACAACACCAGGTCTATGACCAGATCTACCTCTTTACCTTATAAGAATGTGGATAAAAGTATTTTAATTTCAAAACCGAGTTCAGATAACCCTGTGAATATTTTGTGTAACGTCAGTTCCACCACTTCAAGCCGTCGAAATTCTATGAAAACAGATAACTGCATAAGCCGTAACATTAAAGCCACTAACTTCATCGCAAAATCACCTGTAGATCTTTTTGACAATAATAACAATCTTATAACTTCAAATGATCGAAATCTCGATAAAATTACATACGATAACGATGAAAATATAATGCCATCTAAATGAAGATCAAATGCCACAAAAAGTCCTTATGATATTAGATCTGTCGTTAAAACTCATCTAAACGCTTCGAAGTGAAAATAATAATCCAGAAATTCGCTCGAATCGGATCACACAAATTATTTATGCTCTCAAAATTGTATTGTATCATGTGTTGTGAAAAATTATTTTCACTCTAAAGAGGACAATTAATTACGTCTAATTTGTTATTAGAGAAGAAATAATGAGCGAAAATAATAATTTGATAATATTATTGAAATATTTGTTCATATTTATGTGTACATAAATGTATACACGTGTGTTGTAAAACTATTAACTAAATAAAAAAAATTTACCATGTAAGAGCAACAAAAGCATACTCAATATTTGATAATTTTTCTCAACAAAAAATGATTTTATTCGTCGTTTATGAATTTTGATGAATGTAGTTAAACTAATTACTAATAATATAAAATTAAAGTGGGTCTTAGTTTCTTATAACTTTTATAGAGTATAATAAAAATTGCTCATGAAAAATAATGTTTTGGAATCAAATAGGTCCAAGTATGGGTTTTTATACTTGTGCCTCATAAAATTAAACCTTTTATAATGGTTTGCTTTGTTTCAATCGTAAAATATATTTTAACAATATTAGACTTTACTTAATACTTTGAAATTCAAAAAGTATTTTAAATCGATACACAATTTTTTTTTTTATTATTATTTATGGTGCTTTCACTCGCTGGGGCATTGCACTTACTTTATTGAATACTGCATAAAGCTTAGAGGTGGTTACATTAAATTTGATAATTACATTAATCAAAATTGAGAAACATAAGTAATGAAATTGTTAATTATTCAGGTCACCGCGGAAAGCCGCTACTTCCAAGAAGTTTGTTTATGTACCTGCACGTATTGTTTACACGGTTTAAAGGCCTCGATCTGTCAAAATTGTCGCTCGCACGCTTACTAGCAGTAGTTTGGATTCGGTCGCGCGTATCTCAACACTATGCCCGTGATATCCAGTATCGTTTCGGACGGAAACATACTTCTGCTCGACGGCTTCCTTTATATCAAGTCTAAAGAAGTCGAAGGTAGGATTTATTGGGAATGCGAGCGCAAACACGCGATAAGCGACTGCGATGTCACAATCGAGACGAGCGATCCCTCTACGCGCCTCGACAAACTCTGCGTCTTTCGACCTGCCAAGGACGAGGCTCATTCGCATCCTCCTAGGCCCACGGACTGCCTCGATGAATACCTCAAGGATACCAAGAGACGCGGCGAACCGCCTGACGTTTATATCACGGAAATAATAACACCCGCTGGTGACCAAGGTTGGTTCAGTGCATCGTCTCGGCAATTTCATGTATTTTACGTATCGTAAGCTCATATGTACCTAGTATGTATTTATAAGCAAGCATTCATCATCGCGCGAAGAAAAGAAATAATGAAAATAAAAATAAGCGTCCAAGTGAAAAAATTTCATAAATCTTGTTGTGTCTAAAGTTGCTTGATTGTGAGTAATGCGTGACAGACTAACCACTTCTAAAACTAGCTGGAAAGCTTATATGAGTAAAAGTCAAGTTCCAAATTGCACCTTTATATAGGACAGAAACCTTTGGCTGCTTCTTTTAGCGCAAGCCTAACATATCGTTCATCATTTCTTCCGCCTTGTGAAATATTTATGTCTGGAAGTCTGTGATCTATAAATTTCAAAATTACTCATAATCATCGGGTTATTTTTGGACTGTAGGATCAACGTAAAAAATGTGTTTTTAAATAATTTTGAAAGATCACCTACCTTCTTGTGTGATAACGTTTCTGTCTATTTTCTTATGAAATGCCCTTTCATATTGACTAAGGATCGAGTCCTTAACATTTTTTATGAAATGCTAAATTTTCTCATTTAAACTTACTCATCGCAATTAGTTATTTTATATAAGGTATATAAAAAATTGAAACTCTACAATTTCATGAAATCCAATTATCGATTGAATAATAATCCAATTCTTTATCATAAAAATGGACAAGTGTCTACTAGCGATACACAGGAACAATCGATCGATAAAAACAACAGCGTCAATGAACGTATCGTCAAATTGTCGCCAACAAAAATTTTTAAGATCCCCTGAAAATGGTAAGACACAAATGTTTCGATGCATCCGAAAGTCACATAGTTGTTTGAGATGTCTGAAATATCGATTCCAAATGACACAGCGCGATAAAAAGCGAAGCGTACTAGGATGAGTAATCAATATACGAGCCGGTGCTGCGGCTGCACACCGACGGCGACGGCAATTGGCGAGCCACGGCTCATCTTCATCCTTCGCGCTGTGCACGACGAGATGCCAACTCGCCGCGGCTCGACTCCGACGCGTTCATTGCACGCGTCTATGCGTGACTCGCGCATGGGGAGGTACTCGTATTCCGGTGGCGCGGGTGGGTGTATATCTCGTGCATTACACATGCCCGTGAATCGTGCGTATTGCTGACGCAGCTACAACAGCTACAACAGCATTATGGTCATTGCAGTATTATGTTGGAATACAGCACTTGTCGCGCGCTTCAAAACAGCGCACGTATATTATAAATATAGAGCTACCGAGCGCTGCACAATGACACACGCACACACAGGCAGGTACGCTCGCGCATCCTTTCAAACGTATTATATATGATACACCACAAACGACATTGACACGCGACGCCGCTCATATATACAAGTAGCGACTCGGTTAACGTCAAAATATACACGAATCCAAATGAAAGTTTGGTACGACGCTCGTGTGTGCATGATCGAGTTATATATTGTGTTCGAAACAATAGTAGACCTCGTTTTAGAATACTTGCGGCTCATTAACTATGCTATGTACGAGATGATTCTTTTTTCGAAATAAGCCATTACGCGGATAGTCTCGTTTTGAAGAGAAAAACATTTCGCTTAGTTGAGCGAGCTTCTCAATAATCATAATAACAGCACATTACGGGTACTTCATTTCGAGTGGCCGCGGCGAGAGCGAAAGAGCACCGAATCGAGCGTTTAATCAAATTGCCCATAATGTTTGCTATAGGTATGTAATATGAAACTATAAAATTAAAAAATGCCTATGTAATGTTAACACTACAAGCCGGACACGGACATATTTTAACGTGTAATACACGTCTAGAGCAATTCAGGTCTATGATACTGTTATAGCAAGAGTACGTATAGAGAGAGAGAGAGAGAGAGAGAGAGATGCGAAGCGTGTGTACTCCGATACAAATACGGAGTTATATTACATAGCAGCGCGTTATATCTGCGCACAAGTGCAGAGTAGTGTGCGAAAAAGCGGAGCCGTGGCAAACTGTGCGCTATAGAGCGCGGAGTCGAAGTGAGCTGCTGCTGCCGCTGCCGCCGCCGCCGCCGCCACCGCTCCGTTGCGCGGAGGAGCAAAAGAGTGCGAGAAAGAGAGAAAGAGAGAAGAGAGAGAGGGAGCGAAAAAGCCAACGATATACATATACCATTTACATTGGCATACTCAGTGTACCCACGGAACGCACAGAAAGAGAGAGAGAGAGAGAAAGAAAGAAGTGCTACAAAGGAGTTCTCTCTCTCTCTAGTCTCTAGCAGTTCTGAGTGCTGGTGTACGTGCGTGCCGCGACTCCCCGAGCTGTTCCCGAGCGTGCGTGTAAAAGGGACGACCGAGAAAGCGAAGGAAACGCCGTGAAAACCTCCGCTTACCCATCGCAACTTCGTACGGAGGCGCAGATTTTTTTGGGTACGCGTGTGCGCACACGCTTCTCTGTGTGTATATAACAACGCGATTGCTGTGCGCGAATTGGTCTCTCTTTCTCTCTCTCTCTCTCATTAATGCAGTCGTCGTCGAGATCGAGTTGAAAATCGTAGTCATCGAAATCGTTGACTGCATTCGAGGCATCGTCTTTGCGACTCGCGGTCTGTGCAGCGCAGCTGATACACGGGTGCCAGAGCATCAACAACATCGACGAGCTTGAATAAATTATGCTCGTTGGTGCGAGGGACGACGAGAGCTGTGCTGACTGCATGAACCGTCCGCTATCGTCGCAGCCACGAGTCAAATTGTTCGACTAGCAGCAGCAACAGGGCAACAACGCAGCAGCAATAGCAGCCGCAGCAGCAGCATTAGCAGATGAACGGCGCCAGTCTGTCGCGCTACTGCTGACTGACCACGATATCAACGCTCGCGCTTGTGTATTGTGCAGTCGTCGGCCCACAAACGTCGACGACGCCACTCCAACGCAGCATTAGTAGCAGTACTTGCTAGTTCTTTGCGAATAAAGGCCAAACAACAGCAGCAACGACGTCGACCACGGCGACCACGACGTTTTGTCCAGCTGCAGTAGCTACTGCAGCTCTTCAGGTATCCACTGCCGCCACGGCCTTCACCGACATGGTCGGACTTGCAGGCGGGGGCGGCCATCTCTATCCCTCGCCCCCGATGCAGCCGAATCCTCCCGAAAGTAAGTACAGCACGAGCCTTGCTCGCGTTTCTGTCCTCGCCTTGCTTTTCAGTCGAGCGTGCTTGTAGTACCCGCGATAAACATCAACATCGCAGCGACAAAAAAAAAACATTTTCGCCATGGCTGTACAGTGCAACTTGCATACAACGTAATACAAAAGAGGGGGCATGTGTACGTCGCGTGTGAACTATGCTCACAGCTGTCAAGATCAACGAGGTGGGGGTCGTGGAAAAAATTAAATGCCTTACAATTTTTTTCCCCTCAACTCTCTATTTGTTTTTATTTTTTTATTTTATGTTATAACAGTAAAATGAAAATAAAATGATGATCAAGCAAATTTCAATTCATTCAAAATAAGCTTCTAATTATCTAATTCTATATATTTTGAAACATTCTTGTTAATCTCAAGAAATGTTTTGGAAAAAATAATAACTTGTAGAATATAACAATTTTAATGTTTAGATAAAATCAGTACTTGAAATGTTACAATACTTTCAATAATATTTCACTTTATTTTACAGTGAGAGAATTACCTGTGATCAACAGTGCAGCTCCAACAAGCGCTGACGCTTGTCTTAGTATAGTACACTCATTGATGTGTCACAGACAAGGTGGAGAAACTGAAAGTTTTAGTAAACGTGCTATTGAATCTCTTGTCAAAAAATTGAAGGTATAACATAAATACTGAATTTTATTTCTTTTTATTTTGTATTATTTTGTTGTTCATTTTAATTTTTACTTTCATCTTTAATGCTCTTATAAAATACATTATTTCATCGGTATTGTACAGTATAGCCACAATTTATCATTATTAGCGTTTAACTATATTTGATAATCTTATTTTTAGGAAAAGCGAGATGAACTAGATAGTCTAATAACAGCAATAACTACAAATGGATCCCATCCTAGTAAATGCGTAACAATACAAAGAACATTAGATGGACGATTGCAAGTTGCTGGGCGAAAGGGCTTCCCTCATGTGATCTATGCTCGTATTTGGCGATGGCCTGACTTGCACAAAAATGAACTGAAGCACATCAAATACTGTCAGTTTGCTTTTGATCTCAAGTGTGATTCCGTTTGTGTTAACCCTTATCACTATGAACGTGTTGTTTCACCTGGCATAGGTACGATATCTATTATTTGCTAACGATACTTTGTTAATATACATGGTGGTGGAAGTTAATTGCTGTTGCTTTGATAAACAAAAAAAGCTTTATGCGACTGATAATTATTTAATTAGTTGCTCTGCTCTATATTTTGCTGAAAGTTTCAATTGGCTATTTCTTCAAGTATTTAATCGAAACTCAAAAAATCAAATATTTGTTAAAAAAATAAATTATTTAATTATACTTGAACATAAGCTGCATGATAAATTTTATTGATAATTAAGTAAATTGCAATTAGTTTTCAAAATGTGAAAATTTTTCTAGTCAATTTATCGCTTCGAAAATTAATATTTTTAAGATTAGATTTTCATTAGCAACAGAAATTTGATAGTATATATCATCGCCCCAGCACAGAAAGGTATCTTCTTAAGCTCAGAACTAAAAAGGTAGCTATGTGTTAAAAGATAGGAGTTTAGAACTTTTTTTCCTCCAAATTTATTTATTCTGCGCTGAGGCAATGTGCATATATATTACTTACCTTTTTATTTTTTGGTAAAATTTTAGCAATATTTTAATAATAAAAAAAAGAAAACTAATCTTAAATATTTTAATTAGTCAAAGCTATTTATATTGTTTATAAATCTTAAACTGCTTATGCATACAATTATTTTTCATCGTTGTTGCTTTGGTGTTTTTGACGAAAATCGTCGTCCTCTTCCTCCTGCCCCATTCTGCACAAGCAGATCCCTTTTTTGCAGATCTATCGGGTTTGACGTTACAATCAGGAGTGTCTGTGTTACCTGGTGGACGACTTGTAAAAGATGAATACAGTGTTGGTGGAGGAGGTGTTTCAACTTCTGGTGTAACTGTTGGTGGGGGCATGGATGTTGATGGTGAAATGAATCAAACAATTCAACATCATCCTCTTCCTCAGTCATCATCTCAATCAAGTAACTCGCAACAGAGCTTTGTATCTGTATTACCTGTTACTGCAACTGGTAAGTTAAAAATTTTTTTTATTATTTTATATATTGGTAATTACATTTAAGCTTTAGTTTTTCTGTCACACTTTGTTTCTGCTTTTTTTTATAAACAAAAATTTGATGCCTTGGCTCAAATTAGGCTTTCAAATTTATTTCAGTGGTTCTATTATTAAAACATGTAGATACTATTATTTGTATTATTTGTTTTTACCTTTACTAAAGCAATTAAAAACTAACTTTTTTTTTATTTTCTACTTCTCTATTACAACCTGAACCTTCTCTCCTTACCTACTGCTGAGCTTAATACCTGTGATGCATAGGGTCAAAACAAGTAATTACAACAACAAACTCTGTACCATCAAGTAGTGGCAATAATTTGTTTAGTGGGACTGAATCCAATAATACAAAACCTAACATTTCATTTGAAGGAATCAATAATCAACAGAGCTGGGCTGACTATAAGAAATTTATTCAACACTCTAGTTGTATGTATCACAGCAAAGTGCTTTAGTCCCTCCTAAATTATCATCCCAAAAGCTTACTAGTTATTCACAATTATATATTTTTTCTTTAAATTCTACTCATTGTACATGATTAATGCATGGCAATTTTATTTAATTAAGCTTATCTAGTTTTTTTTGTATTTAGATTCTTGACCTTTCAAAATATTTAAAATGCTTGATTATATAAGAAAATATGTTACAAACATTAATTAAATATCGTTGAAATATCTTGATTATTGAATTATTTACATTTATTTTTTCTTCCATAAAATAAGGGAACCAGCCACAAGCTCTCAACTCAAGTAATGCTAGTAGTAGTGGTCAAATACTTACTTCCTCAACACAAGGTCAAAGCAATGAGTTTTATGGGACATCATCAACAACTTCACCACAGGACCTTAATCAAAGTGCACCAGCATCAGTAGATTCACTAGCAGCAACTTTAAGTGAGTGTTTATAATCGAAGTGGCTATTCAGGGAAAATAAGTATTTTTTATTTTCATATATGAAATTTACAATTTTTCCCCATTTTTTTATAAACAAAAATTTTGATGGCATGATTAAATATAAAAAAATCAAAAAATCAAAAATAAAAGTATAGAACAATCAAAACAAATATTAGGTTGCAGTAGGACATTTAAAAGTTTTTCTTTGTTTTTTAATGTTTTTCATTGACTATTGCACTAAAAAAACAATTATAATTGTAATGTTTCTAAAAAAATTTTAATTACATAAAAAGATATTGCATTAAAAAGTTTTTAGTTAGGACCAGAGGTGTAGGAAAATTAATAATAATTGAACATGATACACTGTGTTATTCTATGAAATTATATTTTACATGTGGTTAATAATTTTTGAGACACGTTGCCGTTCTAATTACACTCAAGTGCATTTTGTTTTGCATAAATGTGAAAAAGAATTGAAAATACACAATATAAAACTTTAAACTCCCGAGTAAAATGTCAGCATTAATACCTAAATCAAAGTGAATTTTGATACAAATAAATCAAGTATTTCTGATGATTTTTCAATGATTTTTTTCGAAGTAAAATTATTTTCAGGATTAAAAAGTAATAACTTCAAAATATTACATGCGTTTTTCTTCCATTCTTCACAATATTCTGAATTAATTAAAGCTGATTAAAATATAATAACTCAGATTTTAAATAACTCTTTTTAATTTTTTTATAAAAGTAAAGAAAGATGGATGATATTAAAAATAGTAAAAATAAAATATGTGTTTAAAATTAGTCGATTTTTTACTTCGTGACTGTTTGGAAGTAGCATCAATGTATTCTCAAAAATTTTTGAATGTACTCCGTGATATTCAAAAATATTCCACTCGTTTTTTTTTATTTTTGGATTGAAAGAAATTAACGAAGATATAGTGAATACAAAATGTGGATGACGCCACTCATTTTGTATAATATAGATGCATTGGTAGAGAACTAAACTGTAGAATCTGATTTTACAATTTTTTTATTTATCGAAAAATGTTCTCTTAGTTTGGAGAACTTTATTCAAAAACTCGATGGATTTCTTGCGAAATTCCAATTTTCACGGTTTTCATCGACTTCATAAATATTTCTTACTATTTTTTACACTTTTACATTTCCTTGTTGTTTTTTCATCTAGACAAAAGATCCTTTTTAATACTTAGTACTTATTTTGTAGACTTACAGTATTATAGATAATATTTTTTATTTAGCTGCAGGAGGTAGTCAAGGTTCTCCAGTCTCACCAGTTCATTTGCATCATCAAAATAATGGCTATAACGTAGGAACAGCTACTAATCCATATAACACCGGTGCACCACAATGGACAGGTGCAAATACACTTACGTATACGCAAAGTATGCAGCCACCTGATCCTCGGCATCTTCAACGTACGACACCATATTGTAAGTTTTTATTATCAAATGATTTTGGTCACATTATAATAATTGTATATGCTCATTATTTTTGATTGTCATAGGGGGAAATCATAGTAGCGATGTGACTGGTAATATGAGTGGTGGCTTACTATCGACTCAACCCGCTCCCGAGTATTGGTGCTCGGTAGCTTATTTCGAACTGGATACTCAGGTTGGCGAGACATTTAAAGTTAGTAGTAGTTGCCCGACCGTCACCGTTGACGGATATGTTGATCCCAGTGGAGGGAACCGTTTCTGCCTCGGTGCCCTCAGCAACGTTCATAGAACCGATCAAAGCGAACGAGCTCGGCTTCATATCGGTAAAGGTGTAGTGTTGGATTTGAGGGGTGAAGGTGACGTCTGGTTGCGCTGTCTCAGCGAGCACAGCGTATTTGTTCAGTCGTATTATTTGGATCGCGAAGCAGGACGTGCGCCGGGCGACGCTGTTCACAAAATTTACCCTGCTGCCTACATCAAAGTATTTGACTTACGGCAATGTCACAAGCAAATGCGTGGGCAAGCAGCCACAGCTCAAGCTGCTGCTGCTGCTCAGGCGGCTGCTGTAGCTGGTCATCTTACTCCTGGTGCGCCGATTACGAAAAATCTCAGTGCAGCAGCTGGTATCGGTGTCGACGATCTTCGTCGTTTGTGTATTTTGCGACTGAGTTTTGTCAAAGGATGGGGCCCAGATTACCCTCGAACGAGTATCAAAGATACTCCTTGTTGGATAGAAGTTAGTTAAAATTTGTATGCTTCACGAACACGTATTAGACTACTTAGTATGTTGATACTTAAATTATAATTGATTCGCAGGTTCATTTGCATAGAGCTTTGCAGCTTCTGGATGAGGTATTACACACAATGCCAATCGATGGTCCACGTGATTAACAAATCGGCAGCATCGAAATAGCATCGGTTCAAAACATCTAATTTGATGTGACGCGAGCTATAGCATTGAACTTAACATGGATGACATAGCTCAAGAGCTTGCAAGTGTCTCACAGTTGTATGCTCGAGACTAGAAGTATAAAAAAAGCAGATTAAGCTGAAATCATTGAAGCTGTCAAGTTAAAGCCTCGAAAAAATGAAAAATTTTCCCGAACATTAGAAACGAATCCAATAACCAGTGACATAATGATTTATTGTATAAATATATTGGATAAAATATATGAAAAAATGCAATTGAAAAGTTTATTGATTAGCTCGGTCGAAGAACAAAAAATTATTCAATTGTTGTTAGGGCAAACTTGTTTTGGTGAAATTATTTCATACGCGCCTCTGTACATTAATGAAAAAAATATTTGGAGACCAATGACGTGTGTGCAGGTAGTTTTTTAAAGTGGTATTGCGCGGAAACGCAAATGAACGTACAAATGAAATTTAAAAAAAGTCTACTGAAGATTATATAAATCTTCCCAAGCCTTTTTATACATTGTATTCTAGAAAACGTTACGGAAAATAATTGAAATCGTCTCACGTGTGTTGTTCTTCAAAGGAAAAAAGCCTGTGGTCAGGCAGTGTGATCATGTATACGTTATTCATTTATAAAAATAGAACTATAGTGAGGTATATGGGAAGGTGTTTATAATGGACAAAAATTTTAACTGAATAAACATGATGAATTAATATTAGCCTTCCTCCAAAATTGTTTGGATGTGTAAAAAGAATACTAAGGGATTACTATTATTGTGTCATCATCCATATATTTTTCAGAGGTGGAACAAGCTGTTGTATTTTTTTATTAATGATTTGATGAGTAATTTCAAAAAGTATTTCATCATTTTTATCCTGTTCTTGTCATGTTCTTCCTGAGGTGTTTGTTCCTCCTCATGTATGTTTTTTTTTAAAGTTACTATATCATGTAGTACTTGTTGAATACTTATATATATTTGCTGTTAATCAATTTTTTTTATTACATTTATCATATTATGTATTCATATTCGTCGTGATTCAATTATTGATATTATATAAGAATTAGAAAAATAAGTGCAGATTAAAAAATGTAATTATAATGATTCGTTAAATTATTAGAATCATACTCAGTGCATTAATTCAGCAATCATAAATAACGAGTGTGTAGCCAAGAAACAAATACAGTTACGCATTCATTATTACTTAAGACTATGTCGATTAATTGTTTAATCTAAAAACAAAAACAATATCCATTTAGTAGTGCTTTGCTTATTTTTCTGCTTTATTTGAAGGTAATTCACACTGCATATATGAGCATTGTTTGAGTTTTACTGTCAATTGTATATGTAAATATAATTTATATGATCTCAGAAAGGAATTTAGCTTATTTAAAACAGTCATTAACGTGTAATTTGATAATGTAGTACTGAATGTTAATTTAATTGTTCTTGAAATTCAGAATAAGTATTACATATTTTTCAAATCAAATAAAATTGTTCACGTCGTAAAATTTTCGTTTTGTCTAATTCAATGGCACTTAGATAAATTATCGAAATTATTATCTTGTGATATTCCGTTCTAATATTGCATAATTAAAAAATATTTTCAAAAATATTAAAAATCATCTGTACAGTGAAAAGATATATATCTTGTTCTGAAGAATATTGAACAAAAAACATAAAACTGCTACAAATGATTGAGTGCCACTGTGATGTTGAAAATGGATTTTAAAAAAATAATGAATGCAGATAGTAGAACCTTGAATATACAAGATGCATTATATGTAGTTGTGGGTATAAATAGTACCTTTTTATATATTAAATAAGAATACATAGAAAAATGAAAAAAAGTGAAAAAAGAAATGATGTGAAACTGTTGAACTGCCCTTAAATAAAAAGAAAAAGAATAAAAAATGTGGTACAAAATTAACCATTGGTAAAATCAAGGTGACAAATTTTTTCTGTGACTCTAATAAACGAGTATAATACATAACGAATCACTGAATTGTAGTGAATAGTAATAATAATGATCAACGTGCCATCTATTAATCTAATGAAATATTAAATGATACATTTACATCAATAAAAATATCTAGAAATTTTTTACAATAAAAAAGAATTTGCTATACTGTATTTTTCACGCATAAGCAGTACTGAAAATTATGAAAGATGAATTGTTTAGGATGAATACGCACGTCGAACTTTTTCTAATTCTGGTGCTGAACATATTACATAATCGTTTTTTACCTAACTACATGAGTTTAGATGAAATTTGGTAGAAGAGATCGTTTTGGTAGGGGCGTAAAAAATCTTTTACATGTACAAAATAAGGTATGTAGTTTCTAATTGAAAGTTGTTCGAAATGCGTTGTAATTCTTGCGATATTGTATCAAATTTTATTTGATACAGATAAAAAAATACGTCTAGTTACGTGTAATATAATTATTAATATTCGTGCTTCATGCTACCAAATGGTCAATGTCATTTTGATTAAAACAATAGTAAAAATTATTTTTGTATTCATTCAAGACTGCTACTTTTAAGAAAAATGTTTAATCATTTACTTCAAAAAATACGGGAATGAGTTTCAACTCTAGGTTGCATTATGGTGACCAATTTATCATGTACAGCTGAGCATGAATTTTGATATAAATTTGTTAAATTTTGCGTCGCCTACCTAACTCTCGTTCATTTCAAGCAAAAAAGGAAAAAAACTAAATTCAAAGTTCATAAAACAATTGTATATAAATATTGTTTATTGACCAAAAATATTCTCGAGGAAAATGACGCTTTTGTCAAATTTGCATCTATTGTTTTCGTTTACATACAAATGTAAAAAAAAATGAATAAAAAAAATTAGCGTCTACATCTGAAGCGTGCGTTTCGATAAGATTTTTAGTGTTCTATCAAGAGTTACAAATGAAATCAGTACAAGATTTATAAGCCTGCTAGCCTCTATATTAAATGAGTAGATATATAATCCATAACGACGTACCTAAAATTACACTCATAAATACATATATATGAATCGATATATTATTGAAATTTGAATGGTAAAATAAAAAAATTAACATGCGTAAGCTTATTTTTTCGTTAAGTATGTATTTTATAACATGTAGGTACTGTTGACGCATCTTCTTTTTATACCCGGATCGACATATAAGTGCAATATATGAATCACTGAAAAACGTATTTAATAACTATGTGTAAAACTTGATATGATTTCATAAGAAGCTTTTTATTATTCATTCATGGAGTATCTTATAAGTGTTTGTAAAAGTCATTGTTAGAAAAATTGTTTGTGAAAATTGAAATTGCTACTGTTATAATGTAATTATGCAAAAATTATATAGCATTGGAGCTTCAAAAAGTAAGTTTTCGTTAGAGTACTTTTGAGTTATTGCGTATCCATTAATATATATATTATATATATTATTCGTCTATAAAAACTGTTTGCAAAATTGAAGTGTAGAATAAAACTTTTTTAATATACATTTTAAAAATGCAGAAAGTTTTATGTTAGCTCAGCTATCATGTCATTACTTTATTGTAACAAAATTCTGTAAGAACCATAAAACGTGTGTATAAAATTATTATTCATGTACGTTATTTTTTTACATTCTCCTTTTTATTTATAATATCCTTATTGCTACTTTATCATTTCAGATAAATTGGGTGAAGAATTGGTCATACCTTTACACTTGCAATCGAAGTACATGGATTTCTCGTTAAACCGAAAAAAAGATCGTGGCTATCGTTTGCAAGATACGTGTTTAAAAATACATAAATTCATGCAAATATAAATTTATTTAAAGTATATAAAGAGATGAAAACGCAAACCGAGTATTCTATATTTCGACTTTAATGTAACTGAATATTCAATAATATTTGATAATTATATTTGAATAATTACACGTATAAATTTATTATATTCACAAAGAGTGATATTATAAAGCAAATACATTATTAAAATAATATTAACTCACCAATTGGTACAACCCTTCACGAAAAAGTGATAAAATAATTATACTTGCCCAAATTAAATGCTTGTATATCTATTAGTTGTTACATCCATTGTGCACCTAATTACATAAACAATCACAATAATCTCGAAATGAACAAATTAAAAAAAAAAAAAAAAATAGATTGATGAATCGCTGAATGATGAGATCTCTGACTTATGCAACTTTTGTTCATAGATATAATTGAATAAAATGTACAAGTGGAATTTTTTAAGATCTGTATAAATATATATAATAAATTTTTCAATACTTTTTTTGCTATAAATTTAAACCCTTTTCATTTTCATTTTTTGCAAGTAAAGAAAATGTGAAAAACCTTAAAGTCGACGAATAAAGATGCTCCAATTATATATTTACAACTTGCTGCATTATGAATCATTTTGGAAATGTATAATGAGAAAAAAATGTATCCTATTATACTCTTAAAAAATTATTTAGAACTTATGTTTATTAAATGCTAAACTTACACTACAAATTTTTTAGTTTTTATTAAATCTTTATAAACTTTTTTAATTAAAAAATGATCAAGATATTTATTCTAACTTAATTATGAACTTTCGATTCATCATAAACATTATTTTTTCTATGCTTTTTTATTATACTTGACGATACGAAAATTCGAAGTGAATTATTAAGAAATAATCATAATAAAAATACTTAATTGAATAATTTCAACGTCGATTGATAATGGTTTTAAAATAATGTTCGCGTCGGCATAGTTGGCACATGCGTAGTAGATTTGCATAATCCCGTATAACCTCTTTTATGCTGCAAATATCAATAATAGCTGTCTGCTCTGCTCTCAGGCACGACAGCTTATTGTATTGGCGTGTTATTATATTTACAATTAATTAAATATAACAGATGAAAACGACTAATTATTAAAACAGTGTTTTCTTTTATTTCCATTTTTCGAAATTCAGATTTAAACTTTCTGTGAGTCTCATGATATTTATTTTTTAAATATTTACAATTAGGGGTGTTTATATCAAAATTGTATCTAATTTTCAAGATAAAATGCAAGCTGTAAGACTTCAACTTCAAACGCATAATTGCAACTTTGTCAACCTTACTTCCATATATGCTCAAAGTATAAGATGGAAACGCAAACCAATTTGGTTACCTACTGCCAAGACCAAAGTGTTCAGAGTCACTCAAAGACCAAAAATACCTGAAGAAGAATTCCTAAAAATTAAAAATCTTTACAATGTTTATAGAACTTCTATGAAATCAATCAGGTACTGACTTGTGCATCTTTATTTTAATATATATACAATTTTGACAATTTTTAACAAACAAAGCTCTAAATATTTGACTTTACTTTCAGGTTGCTATTTTTACAAATAGGAGAAGCATCACAAGTACAAGAAGATAAAGGGTTAAAGCAAAAAGAAATGGAAGAAGATTATCACAGATGCTTTGCATTGAATGAGGAGTGGAATAAAAAGATTGCAGAAGAAAGAGAAGTTAGACTACAACAAGAAAGGAAACAAAAATTAGAAAAAATTGAAAATACTAAAGTAAAAGTAGCGTCAAAATTAAAAAAGTTGGAAGAAGAAGCAGATGCCGTTGTTAAGGAAGCAAAACTATTGGCCCCAACATTCATTACTAGAGATAATATTGATGAAGCAATAGAAGCAGCATTGGCCAATAAAGTTAACTATAACAAGGCGTTGAATCCAGATGGAACTTGGTTTATAGAAAAACCTGTGAACACTAATCCCAGTGCACCAATTGTAGATGCATCCGTTAAAGATGAACAAAAAAAAATAAAGTTAAATTTGTAAATAAATAATGTTTTTAATAATTACATGTATAGATAGAGCAACACTAAAAAAACAACCAAATAATAAATCATTTTTATTAAAGTCAACCTTGTTTTAGTATAAGTTGCATCAATTCTAATTAATAGCCTGTGAAGTATTAACATTTGTCTCATTCAAAGACTTACCATGACTCTATGATTAATATTTATATGGATGGTATAAATTATTTATTAAACTATATAATTTATGGGAAAACAACAATTATCACTCTTAAATAATGTTTATTGCTGTAAATTTATGACACATTCTTGACGATTTTGGTTCTAAATCATCACCCTGCTTAATACATATTAAATTTTGAGAAAGAAATTATTCATATTTCTATAGTATATATTAATAATTATTTTTCTATACTCAAGTAAAAAATCCATAAAACCCATTAGTTATGATAAAAATTACGATCGCAAATTGAAATACAATTATTATTATCTTTATTAACAAATAATAATAAGTTTAATTTGTAAATAATAATCAATTTAGAAATGATTCTTTTGTAATCTTATAATAAAGTAATGAAAAATTACTTGCTAGAAGGTTATCAGCCTTTGATTTTTTTTCAATTGCAATGAGATTTTCAATGTATTTTTATACATTTAGCTACATTTTCGAATTGATTAAAGAATTGAAAGTTTTATAAAAAAATTTTTAGAGCAAGTATTTTTTACTTAAATAATTTATAATAGTATTTATAATAGTATAATTAATTCAAATTTAATTCGAGGGAGTGTTAATTTTTTTCTAAAATTTACACATTATTCCTATATACATTCAAATGTTGTAAAATGGATTAAATGCAAGTTACTACATGGTAGAATACATTCATAGTAAATGGGCATGTTAAAAATGTACTTAGTAACGTCATGTCAATTTCTAAAAAGTTTCAAATATCTTTTTAGTAGAGTAAGAAGACAAACAACCATTTAATGAAAATTTATTTACACATTATAATGCTTCAATTCGTTATTTATACACCTACTGCTCCATCAATTTGTATTAATTAATCTAACAGGTACGTTGGCCATAAACAAATTACAGAGGATATATAATTTTTCAGAGTATCTATCAGCTGAAAAAACAAGGTATGAGTCTTATAACTGAAATATATTCAGTGTACAATAATTAACTATCGTTTACTGTAAGTCGGTCTGCGAGTTGCTAAGAATTATTTTGTATCAATTCTAATTTGTTTTTCACAATCTTTGAAATCTTTGAATTGAACGACACAATAACAATATAATACTTTTTTATACATCTTATATTTAATTAGTTCGTGATTTTCTGACTGAAAAAGATTGATAAATTCTGTTAAATACCTGATTTGTAAGGTGTCTTCATCATTTTATTAGGTATTTTATTAGAATTATCAATTTCTTTCAATTGGGATATAAAACTTGAAATAATTTTTCTATTCAATATAGTAAGATATAGATTTTTTTAATTAATCGATCTCTAAAATCTCCATATATTTAATATTTAATTTTAACAATGTCCTGAGCTTACGACACTAATTAGTACTTTATTGAATGGATTTATATTGAAAAAAACTTTAAATTTTATTTTATACGAAATTAAGTTATAGCTTTTTAATTTTTTTAGATTATATGCATACATATATTTATTTTTGAACATTTTTGAAAGACTCTCTGGGTTCATAAATAGATCATTAAATTCTCTTTATGTTAAACAATTAATTAAATTAAATTGTTATAAGACGATAAAATGTTTATTTACAAACGCTATGAAAACACCGTTATATATCAATTAAAACGTTTGGTATCATTATAGAGTCAACGTAATCTAATAAAATAATAAAACATTAGAATCTAAGTACATCTTTTATAACATCGGTAAATGATATATTTTATAATATATGCAAATTTGGCATCATACATGCTCGTGTTCTTTTAAATTTCTAATTATTTTTTTTGATAAAACAAAAGAAAAATTATATCAATCCCATAAAATTTCATAATTTTTAATATTAAAAAGCGCTTTACCTCGCTCACTCGGGTTATCAGAATATTTCCAGAAATGTTTGATATTAATTTTAAAAAACCATATAGATCTTTTATAAATCCCTATACATTCTTTTAGAAATGAAAATCAGAAATTTTGGAAGAGCCAAGGAATTTTTTCAGTTTCAACGCGTAATACGTAAGAAGATTTCAAACAATTAAGTATCAACAACGATTCAACTACATATACGTGTAAGAAATAAATTTTTCTAAAAAATTATCATATAAAATTTATTGGATGAAGAAAGTGTGTTAATACATATCACAAAATGATGTGGTCAAAAATTGAAATACTTATATAGCAAGTTACAGATGATTTTATTTAAAAAAAATTGAACATTTTTTTACTAACATATTCTATCGTTTTAATGGGTATAATGAAAAATCATTTTTTGAAAATTTAATGTATTCATAGACTTTTTATTTACATTAATGGAATTTATATTACATTAAATGCAATACATGGATCGTAAAGATCTCTAATGAAATCAAGATTTCTTGTTTGCAATTAATCACAAACATAAAGTGAATTTTTTATACATTAAAATGCGTTAACACTCAAAAAACAATTCATGCTATTTTCGTAACTATTTCAATACGCTCTTTACATTTTCACAACGTTACTCGTAACATCATACTATTATGTCTTTAAAAAGAAAACAAAAACCAAGAATAGTATTATCAATTCGATAATTAACATTTATTGAAATTTTTTAATTTAGTTCTTTTTATATTTTATATTAAGGTTTAGAACTAACGGTTCTGAAACCATGGTTCGTTTGCGGCAATCTTTACGTAATCCAATGATAACAATTTTTGGTTTTTTAAATCATATCAAGGTCATTTTTATAGTTTATTTTTGTTGTATTTAGGTGAAAAGACACTGCAAAATTTCTGCAGAAACTAAAACAACTAGTATCGAAGCGAAAATTGCCTTAAAATTATTATTTGGACAAATTTTGGAACTTTTGTTATCAATTCCTAGAAATGTATAACAATATATTAAGCCTTAGAACGTGGGGCTACTTGTGTACGCGGGAAGCAGCGAACATTTACCCTTGCTCTGGTTTTAAGTTGATTATCTTAGATCACTTTTCTATGGAAATAGCGAGCGTCAAAAAAATCCCGGGCTCGAAGAGTTAAGGAAAGAAAAGTATGTCGAATAATGCATAGGGTGACAATATTACTACGACATAATTAGCAAAGCCGTGGTTTACTCGGCGCATTTGCTTTTTAAAAAGAACAAAACCATCATAAATATTGCGTTGATCAACGGCATCCTCGCCGTAAACTTAAAAATGATGTATTCGAGGATAACTTATGCCACTTCACAGTACGGTATCAAGCGTGTCGAAGCTGGCCATTAAATGCTCATCCTTAGAACACCATTGGACCAATTCATCGATCGTCACGAATCCGTCTTTGTTGGCATCAATCAACTATGAAAATACAATTTTATGGATTTTTATTTCGATTTCATTTGCTACTGATGGATTTTTTATTCGTTTTTAGGTATTTCAGGTATTACAAATTCTAATATACGATCAATTTTTTAATCAGATTGAGTAGCTTAACAATTTCTATTTTGGCTAACACGATGAATAAGTCGGCTGCTAGGTCACAATTATCTGCTCATTCTTGAGTGAGAAAGTAAAAGATACATTTTTTGATAGAAAATTTTCAAAAATTCAGATAAAAAATTACTCTAATCGGATTTAAATACTAGTGATGGTGAATTAAATGCGAATAAATGTTAAATTCAATCTTGATATTATAAATAAATTTCGTCTAAACATGATCGTTAATGACGCGAAAGACGAGGTAATATGATAATTAAAACAAAATCATTGTTTGGCCCATTTGATTTGGTAGTGAAGAGAATTTATATATACTAATTATTATTAGCAATACATCATTTACTCGTTAATGGAGCGATAATGACATTATTAATTGCGCATTGTCTATCGGTATAAAAAAATAATCATCATTTTTTCAAAAGTACTCGAATAATCGTAAATTACAAAGGAGTCATGTTCCGAAGCTTCGGTCCATTTATGATTTATGATTTTGACTCGGGTAGTATTAAAAGCGCAAGAAGTACGTTGCGGGTAATGCAAGACAATATCGTACACGATGTATAGCAACCATTTCCACAAAGTCACTACTCACTATAGTCTATAAGGAGTTAGGCGATACGGGGGTTCGGAGCTCGCGGTGCATTCGCTTGTAAGAGAAGGGTGAAATGGAGAGGAGATGAGGAGAAGGAGACAGAGGAGGAAGAGGTGGCAGGCGAGGGGGTAAAGCGAGAAAGCTCATTCTCTATAAAGGACTGCGAGACTGGCTCTTTATAAAGGTTATAGAGCTGCTGCAAAAGTTGAGCTAAAGATAAAAGCGCGTCATACAGCAGCTACCTCTGTGTACAGAGATCGAGGTTTTTTCTTTCTCTCCCTTCTTCATAGCACGTATTCTCGTATGTGTGCAAATGCGTGTAGATGTGTGTGGAAAGACAATGGGTGCGAGAGAGGAAAAAGCTCGCTAGAACGAGGGCATCGTCTCAATTACACGGGTGTTACACATCCCGTACTACTTCCCCCATGAAGCATACAGTAAGCTCAAAACTCCGCGATGATGATTTTATACGCGAGCTGGCTTTACGAGTCTTATACGCGCGTAAATTCCTCCAGCTCGAAATAACAAAACGCGAGACATTGAACTAGTTTTAGTATTTGAGCGCAATTTTTCAGTACGGCAGCAGCAACGTTTTCATGTTAATCCATTATTGCAATATAGATTCAATTATTATTCACGCGGGACTTTTTGATAAATATTCGATCGGATCGCGATGCTTTTGATCGACTCAATTTTTATGCATCAATGTGAAATATTTTATCGACGGAGCTTTGGGACACTCGTTTCATTTTTTTTTATCGTCGATGCTTTACGCGATAAAACGTCCGTCTTTGGCGCTTCTGGATCATAAAGTATACGCTACACATTTAATTAAACTCGAAATCGAATACATCAAAAAAAGGTTGGGACATATAACGCGCTGAATTGGATTTTCGAGTGTGCACTTACGTGAAATATACGCTCGACGTGCTCTCGGGCCGCTTGATGCGGCTCGTTGATGTGCGGGGTCGTGTATCGTCCTAGCATGTCATAAATCGAGCCAACTACGTCGATCATTTCTTCCTTGCTGATGAGACCGTCGCCGTCAAGATCGTACAGGCCGAATACCCACTGGAGCTTCTCCTCGACTGTGCCGCGCGATATGTTCGACAGGATTGTTAGGAATTCCTGCAGACAAGACCACAAATTGTTTCGTCGAAACGAAAAATATTTTGTTCTATCATTTGTTTTGGATAAAATCGATCGTTTAACATCATGAATTGAATAGATATAGCTTATAAAAAGCTTCCTTTGAAAAAAAGATTGATACAGTGAAATCTCTCTATAGTGGACACTCTGAATAGCGGACACTTCCCAATAGTGGACAATTTTAGAACGATGAAATATTCCTATGAATTCTTTATGTAACTCCTATTCCAAATAGCGGACATTCTCAATAGCGGACGTGGACACTTATTTTCAGGTATTAACGGACAGTTTCTCCTTTAATTGTTCGAATTTTTAACAATAACATGCGAGAAAATTGCGTATTGCTGCATTTCCACTATAGAGAGATTTCACTGTATAATGTTTGAAGAAAAACAAAGAAATGGAAATGGACTGATATGTCACGAGTAGATTAAGATTGAACATTTCATATTAAATATTTTGAAATCGAGAGCTTCTGTCAGTGCTTAAATTACTGCTAAAACAGCAATTTCAATACTCCTCTCTGAATTAACTTGATTTTTTAACTCGAGCAGTTATTTAATCCCTTATTCTTTTCAATAAAAATTCACTCGGTTTTTATACGATTCACATTTTCTCGTTAAAACCTCTTATACTTCAATACACGCTTATGCAATAGAAAACATATACTATCGATTTCTCGTGAATGTGTACTCTTGAACAAAGAGGAATATTTTCTATACTCAGCGTTCTTATATCGAACTGATTCTTGCTTTATCACGAATAAATAAAGTATAATTTTTACAATAAAAATTTAATCAAACGAATTGTATCATTATTTTTTAACGACTGAATGGTTTTGCCAATCTAAATAACATGTAGTCGCTCGATTTTCTATTTAAAATGTTCCGTGACTCGGAAACGTAGACTCGAGATATTTTCAATAGATTGCCGAAAAGTGCACTTTGCTCGCGTTTCAAAAATATTCATTTAAATTTATTTAAAAAAAAAATTTTTCAAGTTATATCAAGCGGCGAAATTTTGATGACGAATTATAAATGGAAAGAAAAAATGCAGGCGAAAGCAAAGACTTACTTCGAAGTTTATTTTGCCGCTAGTCTGCTTTTGCTTTATCGTGTTGAATACGTAGTGAGCATATTGACTCGCATCTGAAACCAAAATGAAACAACCTAATAGTTTATGCATAGTGCCATATTTATGCACAGAAAGTGTAAACAAATTTGCCTCGAGGCCAGAAAAGCATACAATATCAGAATCTAGTTGGCTACGTCACGCTTCTATGGCCTGAGAGCTCGCGAAAATCGAAACATTTGATACGCGTCACGAGTCACCGGCCCGTTGGACGTATTGTCGTCGTTATAGCTAATTTATCGATTAAAAAGCTCAGCTTTACGAGAGGGAGCTGAAATAAAATTTAAAAAAAAAAACGAAGGAAACGACACTCACCGCCCTGCGGGAAGAATTGTGAAAAAATGTGCTTGAAAGCGTCCTCATCGACGTAGCCGGTCGGCGCTTCCTGCTTGAATCCCCGATAAATCATCTGTATTTCTTTGCGACTGAAACGCGTCTTGGCTGCGAGAGTGGTCAGCTCCTCCGGCCTATGGCGCATGGCGATCCCGAGAGTGCCGGAACCCCCTAAAATTCCGCCAAGATCTTCTATATCGGCCTCTGGAAAATGTCAAAAGCCAACCACACACGGCGACGCCTTTAAAACGACACCTTGATCTCTTTTCATATCTCGGGATTCGAGTCAACAACTGCGATGACACGCTGTGTGTTAACATACTCGTGTCCCATTTTCACTCCCGTTCTTTTTTTTTTTTTTATTTTGCCAACGACGCATTTTTCTAGTGGGAGCAAGTTAAGTTAGGTATGTTATACGTGCAAGAGCGAGTAGAGATTTGGTGAATAACACGGATATTTTTTAACTTGACTTTTTTTCGCTTTAAACCTTGAAAATTTACCTGTTTGACTTACTCGCAAGCTTCACATAACACTAACGCTGGAGGATACTACTCATTTACATAAAAAATGATCACGCGGAATGGCACACATCATTATACGCATGAGTCGAAAAAGCATTCTTAAAATATAATTTCAATTTATATATAAAGTATCTTTTACATAAAATACATTAAAAGAACTTGAAGCTAAGTGCGCATTCAAAGCTTCGTCAGCTTATTGGTATGCTTCAAGCATATTTTATCGATAAAGATTATTTTCGAAAGTATCTGCGACGGTATCCGCAATTCACCAAAGATTTGCATTACATAAATAGAATAAGAGTATTTAATTCAACAGAATCATAGCATAGAGTGCGAGGAAAAATATTACCAGAGTTGAAGATATTATTTAGATATAGTGCAAGACAAAATAGTTCTATAAGCTATGTTTTGGAGGTTTATTTATTGTAGTAAATCTATTTTCTACCAATACAAAGTATTATTATGGTGAGGTAAAAAAAAAGAAAAAAAACTAGAATCATGCTGCATTCTATACATGGCAGTGTATTCGAGTAAGACTGATCTGTCGGTCGCTTCGCGTGGACTTGATGTCAGAGAGAAAAAGTTTCGCAAAAATTAGGTCTGTCGCTGGCCGCGCGGTGAAAAGCTCAGGTCTAAAAGTTGCTCGGTGGAAAGAACGGCTAGAGGCGGTGTGCGAACTCCACATGATGTATAAAGGAAAAAGTTCATGTAGCCTCTTGTTCCAGCTGCAGCAATAAAGGTAACTCTGATGCATACATGTATGCACGGCCGAATCATGTGTATACGTTTGAAGGAAAGGCAAGGTGAGCTCGACTCTCGCTCGTCGCTTGCCAGTCCCTCGGCTCCTTCAGCTTTCGTTGCGCGAGTATATATTTTTGTTCTTTCTTTCAGTTTTTCCTCTCTATTTGCTCGCTGTTTCTTTTTCATTTTATCATTTTTTTTTCTTTTTAGCCAGACGAGAGTAAAAAACACGTCGAGAAGGAAACGAATCCGGCGCAGGTGATGATGCGGGTCAGAGGCAAACTAAATCCGCTTTTGTTGAAACTGTACTAAATTCTCGAGGATGACGAATAAATTGTTAAAAAAAAAAATGAATTTGTCGCCTTTGTATTCGTTGTGCGTGCGATGAGAAGCGAGGATTTATGGCTCGTAACGGGAGAAACGAATCTCATTATTCATCCCAGTTTGTGTACTTGTGCTCGACTTGTTAATAATGCCCTAAAATTATTAAGAGACAGATGAGAATATATGTTTGCTCGAGCTCGTTGTAATAAGGCAGCCAACGCGCATCGGGTAACGCGACTTTATAATATATACATGTAAAAATGTGTATAGATATAAAGAGCAGCAGTCGAGCATCAAAGTCCTTTTAGCCTTGCGATCAAAAGGGAGGATTTCCATCTTGCGAGGAAAACTCATAAAACAGCTCCGAGTCATTAACGTCTGAACTTCGTTAAAAGTTGAAAATCGATTTTCTCGACACAACAAGTTCTGCGCGGGCGCTGCGTGCGGCCGCTATATAGGATCAAGGTTCTTTCTAATTTTCGACTTACAGGTTTGTGTATGAAAATCTTCGCTTGTATTATATATACATCGAATGTTGAACGGGGCAAAAAAACTCGTCGTGCGAGATAAACAAATTTTAAAAAAAATAACAAAGCTTAAACGAATGCAGTCTGAATGCATCGTAAAATTTAGCTCACTCGAGGAGAAATGCAGGAAAATGCGCATTTCTCCGATAGTGCGACGCATACACGCTGCAACGACAAGAAATAGTAAAAACACTCGAAAAGAGAACGCCCAAGTGCATCGTATAACTCGCAGCACTTGCGTCTCGTTTGCCGATGGCGACGACGTTTAATGCATTTAATCCGAGACGTTGCATATTATTGTCTGACGTATTTGTACGTGGCGAAAGTAAAATCTCTTAGCTCGGAAGAAATAGGGTCCCTTTGAAGTGCGAACTCGGCACGTACATTTCCTCAAATAGGTGCAGTTCCAATTGCTTAATCAAACGTAGGGCTATATTTTGAATGATTCGAGTAGGTGCATGGTACGGAGTGTATGCTCGAGGACGACGAGAAGTCTTTTACTTACCAGCTGCAAACACGACACGTCGGTAAATATACATTAATTCATCGAGTTTGCAGGAAAGGTACTCGGTATATGTACAATAATATTATATATGTGTTTGCTCGAGTTAAACTCGGAAAAATATCCCACGCGCCCGAGGACGATGACGACGTGCTGCTAGTAATAATTTTGCGGCCAGGCCAAAGTGAATTTTCATGAAAAATGGCTCGGCACGGAAATAAGTGAAAATTATACCCCGAGCTTTTGCTGCGTATACAACGGAGGCATATGCGACCGAAACGTACACGCAATGCGGAGTCGAATAGCTTCCGTTTACTTTTTATTTAATTTTTTTTTTTCAAGCTGCGACGGAAAGATTTTTCTGCAACCCTGGAAATCTTTCATTTTACCACGTATCCGCTTTATACAGTTTCAATCTCAGTAAGTTTGTAACGTATGTGTTGGGTAATTGGAAAAAATTATGGTCCGAAAAGTAAATTTTCTTTTAAATTCTTTCGGATGCTAAAAATCGCGTGAAAATTAGTCTCAAGTTTAATTTATCAAATTATTTTCTACAACAAACGTCTGTTGAAATTGAAAAAAATTAAATAACAAAATTTTCAATTTCAAACAATGCTATCTTAACAATTATATTTTAATAAAGTTTGCTTTTAATTATATTTTCAACATATACTAAAAGTTACATGAAAATGTCTCGTCGTCCAAATGAAATTTTTATATACTTGGAAAACGAAAAAATAAGAACGCGTGTGCGGGTTAAATCCTGTATTCTTTTCTGACATCAACACAGATTTTCTATATATCATTCATTCTCGCTAATTGCGTTCAGTGTAAATTAGGTCAGACACCTGCGCGCTTGGAAAAGAGCGATACGGTCCGAAATGAATTGTATTTCGACGTGCATTAAAATCCCATCGACGGATAAAATATTACAAATCTCTAGATACGTGCCATTATTGCTTATCAATGAAACTGAGTCATTGGGCATTTATGTAGTATTTTGAAACATAAATTTTGAATTTTGTAGCAGTAAGTTTGAAAATTTCTCCGTAAAAGTTATTGTATATCTTTACGAATGCGTAGTTTTTATTAAGATGAAATATGATAACTGCAGTTTGCGAATCATACAATAAAAGAGAAAAGTGAGAAAACAAAACGCATTGAAATAAAATACATAGAGTAATCGATATCAGCTGTACTTTCCTTGCAGTATGCGATTTCACATTTTTTGAAATTTATTTAATTTTTTTTTCCTGGATAGTTGCTGTGCACGTGAATGAGACATAAATTGCCCTTTTTCGGTCTATTCAACTATTTCGTTTGAAATGTTTCATTTCTGATAAAATAGAAATAACTGCAATTGATTTGAAAATTTTCGGTCGATATGGAAATGAAGAAAATGTGTAGTGCAGTTGAAATTTTTTTTTACCAGAAGAGATGGTACTTGATTTGAAATTTTATATGCTTTTCGAAGGTGATTGTACGTAATTTTCTGAATTGATCAAATAAATATAATCCCCATCAAAATCAAATAATATAATCACTACATAGTACCACCATTAGATGTATTTGAATTAACTAGTATGTTCGGTAATCTTTTCAAAAAGATATTGGGGCGATTATAGGTGTTGGTTGATTGCCGATTCACGGAACGATTAGCTATAATTGTTGGTATAGAGGCCCTGGGCGCGATAATTGGCGTGGTGTACAAGTTTCGGGGGCCATAACACTTTTGCGCTTATATCGCGGTACACGACCTACTTAGAGGCTCATTTGCGCCGTTCCGAATCGACGGCTTAATAGAAATTGTTCTTTCGGCTGCCGCTGGGCTATTTTTCGCGTACACGTATAACGCGTCTTGCTCGAGTGCGGCTCGAGCGAATTATTGTCCTGCGCGAAACGAGTTCGTGGGCGCGTTTAATGCGCCGCGTCGGGCACGTATAAAGGAAGCTGCACATTGAATGTTTGCAAGTTGCTGGACGAGCGACATGTCTCGAAATCGTGGACGAGATTTTATATGGGCTGCAAAGGCCGTTATGTGCGACGCTTAGTTGTTCCATTTTCGACAGTCCATGCGCACGCCACCAGATCCGTGTGTGCACGTGCCGAAACGAGGATATTATAATGCACGTACATAACGTGGCGTGCACAGCTGCCAAAACGCATTGTATAATGCGGCCTCGTTCGTGCACGAGTAGGATTTTACGAGAGCGAACTAATATGTTACGGAGCGCGCGTCGAGCCTCGTTAGCCACCAATGTGGATAAGTGGATAATTAGTAATTGCCCTTTGCAGCTTCTTCATCCTCCCCTCCCTCTTTTTTCATACTCTTTTTTTCTTCGCACACGCGTGGCTAATTGTAGATAAATTTTTACCTCGAGCGTCTACGTGAGTGTTCTAATTCGAGGCTACGTAAGCAAGTGTGCACTCGCGGAGTTCTTCTCAGGCGATTATTTTCGTGGCTGCGATTACATGCCATTCCGACTGCGAGTAAAAGCTACGCATACGACAGGTCGATGTCAGAAAAAGTGTAATATTTTAATGGGCGCCGGAGTAAAACGAGCTGCTAAGAATAAGCACTATTGAGCT